CGTAAAATTCGGCGTTTAAACCAACGTCAATGACATTGCACTTTCAGATATTTAATTAAAAAATACATTTATTATATTAACGTAAATAATTGGCAGAAAATATTAAAAAAAAAACATGCGTATTCCCTATTGTATTATGAGAATAATGCTCATGTTCTCAAGAAGCTGCCAGAAAAAATGTCGGTGAATGTTTAGTAATACTTCCTGCTATGTATGTTGACCTCACATGAGCTCACCAGCAATAAAACAAGCATTTCAGAACATAGTTCAGTATAAACCTGAAACCAAGATTTGGTTTATTTATATCGCTAGATTGTAAGAAATGTCCTTCAACCGCATTGGAAATATTAATCGTTCATTGACAGTGTGGTGAAATATAAGGTACAAGTAAGTCCAAGCTTCAGTCACGTGAACTGGAAATGTGGACGGATTTATTTCGCTACTTTCCCATGTTTCAGAGATACCGTGAAAAATGATTTGTATACCGGATGCGTCAATAATAAAGGACGCCGGCTGTATCTCGGCAACCGCCCAACCTAGGGCTATCAGTTAAAAAAAATATAATAAAAGTGGCCAAGAGACATCGCTGGCAATTATTTTCAGCTTTCTAAAATGGCCGCTAGGTGGCGTCATTCTAATCTCAAAAATGGATATACGATTATTTTGCAAAAATATAATTAACAGCTTTATCTTGTTTATCGCCCAATTTCCGAACTTTTTTGTTTTCGTCATTTTTTCATGTTTAGGGTGTGGGGAAAGGGTTGATTGTTATATCAGAAAAAGTCACATAACTTCTCTTTGGTTGCACTGGTTTTGATGATCTTTGTTTAGTCTTGAAGGGTATATTCACCTGCGCACCTAATAAATGCTCAATCTAGTCAGGTTAGTTCAGTTTCTGGCCTTGATCAACAGAACTGCGGCTCACTGGTTTATTGTGGCTCACTCACACCTATTTATATTTCTCTCTTGAGGAAGTCGATCGATTTGCAGAAATATCCTTTAGGTCTTCTACTTGTACTATATACTTCCATGCCTAGTTTGCACTTTGCATCTACAGCCATGTCCAGCCTGCTCATGTGGTGTCGCAATTTGCAATGACCGGTGTACAGTTCCACTAAAGCTTTAACGGTATTCCTGTTTAGCCGCAGCAGTGAGCCTGTTACCGTTTTTGTTAAGATTAGTATAGTTGCTTTAGCAAGGGTGAATCCTGTTAATCCCTCCCAATGTTGATGTATCTTTCCTTCCACCTCTACAGAGATTATTAGTTTAGCCTTTATTGTAGGCGATCCCGAGTGCTAGATCATAATATTTGAAGAATTTTATGGAGGAAATTCTTGAAAATTTATTGATATAATAATAGTAAATAAAAAAATTAAAGAAGCTAAGGTTTGGGTAATAAAATATTTTATAGCCACCTCTGAGGGGTATAAATTATTTTTTTTGACAATAAAGGAATAATAGATAAAAGATTAATTTATAGTCCTAATCATATTCTAAATCAGGACTAAGAAGATATTGTGATTAGAGTTCCTAATATTAAAGTGTTTATAAATAATATTTTATATAATTTCATAATTAAAAAGAGAAGGGGTAGGACCTTTATAGGGATAAAGGGCGTGCTACCCCTCTTCAACTCCATTATCTTCACGGCCAACGCGGCTTGGCCTACTCCAGTGAAGAAAAAGCCGAAGCATTCGCCGATTCGCTAGAATCCGAATGCAGACTCAATTACCATGAAGACGAGGACGACAACCACGAGGAGGCCGTGGAAGTCGCAGCCGAAATCATGAGGAGTCGACCACCTGGCCAGGAGACGGATCACCCCTCCAGTCCAGAGGAAATCCGTCTGATCATCCGCAGGTTGAAGGCCAGAAAGGCGCCGGGAAGGGACGGCATCAACAACAGGATGCTGAAGAACCTTCCCTCCAAAGGCATTGCTGCGCTCACCAACATCGCCAATGCCACTCTGAGACTTAACCACTTCCCGCGGCGGTGGCGGGAAGCCCAGGTTATAATGCTCACCAAGCCAGGCAAGGACCGGAAGTTGCCCCAGAACTACCGGCCCATCAGCCTGGTTTCCTCGATGGGCAAAGTAGTCGAAAAGGCTATCGCCGTTCGACTAGAGAAGCAGGCAGAAGAACTGCAACTTCTTCCCCCAGAGCAATTCGGCTTCAGATCCTCCCACAACACGGAACTCCAAGCGCTACGACTGACAGAAAACTTCAATCTCCAGGAGGCAACCGGCCTCGTCCTGCTGGACGTGGAACGAGCCTTCGATCGAGTTTGGCACGATGGACTCATCGCCAAAATGGAAACCGCCGGAATCGATGCGAACATGTGCCAACTGATCCAGAGCTATCTAACACAAAGATGGTTCACGGTGAAGATTGGTACATGCCACTCAACAAGACGACAGCTGGAAGCAGGCGTGCCCCAGGGGTCAGCCTTAGCCCCCCTGCTCTACAACATCTATACTCACGATGTACCGAAGACAGCTGACACAATGCTGGCCCTATATGCAGACGACACTGCTATAGCCGCCAAGCATCGACGACCCGAGATCATCCGTAGGAGACTACAGGATGAACTGGACCACATCCAGGACTGGTGCGTGAAATGGAAAATCCGCATCAACGTCCTGAAGACGCAGGCAATCTTCATTCAACGAAGAAGGATTGCAAGACCTCTCGAAGCATCCATCTTCGACGAAGATATCCAGTGGAGTGACAAAGTCAAATATCTGGGGATCGTATTTGACAAGTCCCTCACCTGGAAAGCCCACATAGAAGCTGTCATCGCAAAGACCAGAGCAGCCATGGCCCAACTCTACCCATTACTGGGTAGACACAGCCGGATGCCGCTAGCGACCAAGCTACGGCTGATCAAGGCCATCGCCAGACCTCAGCTCGCTTACGCCGCCGCGGTCTGGGGGTACGCTGCCCCCAGCTACCGCAAGAGACTTGCTGCTCTAGAGATGAAGCTACTCCGGATCGCCACCAGTGCACCATGCTACGTAAGAAACTCAACCTTGCGTAGAGACCTGCATTGGGACACCATTCACGAGTACATGAGGAAAAAAGCGGAGAAGACCTTCCAGAAAGATCAGGACCACCCGAACGAGCAGCTACGATTCCTCATGGACTACGATCCGGACGAGAGGCCTCGCAACCGCAGAACCAGGTACCCTAGACCAAGGTCCCAGTTGGCACCCGCTAACTGGAACCTTGACTAGGAGACTAGGAGAACCCGCGGTTGCTCCCCCCCCCCACGGCGTGGATGCAGAGGACCAGGAACCACCGGGACCAGGACCCTCCGGGACCAGGACCAACCAGGACCAGGACCCGCCACGACCTGGACCCACCAGGACCAGGACCCTTCAGGACCAGGAACAATATATAGGTAAGAGGACTTGAAACTCTTGATTTTTCGAAAACAAGAGTTTCAAGAGAACCTAGCAGACCCTCTATCGATGATCGCTTAACGACATCGATAGAATGTGCGAGGTAAAGGGAACCAACCCGGCGTTCCCAGAGACTGAAACACATGAGGAGGAGACGTTGTAGCAGACCGCAGGTCACGCACAACACATGGCCTACCGAGACGCTGATGAGTCGGGCCACGCGGAGGTTTAGGGTTTAGTGGGTATTAGGTGATCTCCTCAAGACAACCTGGAGTCCCACACACGCCGTAGCTCGGGCTATGGTATGGTGCGTAAACGCATTCCCCCCTCACCAAAAAAAAAAAAACAACTCCATACCAGTTCCAATGTTGAATATGTGTAGTCAAGTGCTTGAAGCGCAGCTTGACTTTCTGAAAAAGTATTAATAGTCATGTGCTTCAGTTGTAGTTCTGCGATCATTTAGGCATACAGTTCTATGGCATATAGCTCTTCCCAGGTTCTTAGGGTGGCTGATTCCTTCTTCAGCTTCGGCTTGAATACACCAGCCCCAGCATCTACTTCATTCTTGGAGCCATCAGTCTGATTTTCCCACTGATCCCTTTGAGAAGCTTTCACTAAGTAGGGTTTAGCATATCTTGTTATTTCTGGTAGTATATCAGAAGGCATTTTCAAACTATGGTGGTTTTGCATGTCCACCAACATGTCCGTTTCCTCCGTAGTGATATTGTCCACATGATGTAGCCTATAGGGAGAAAACCCTCCATAGTCGCAAGTTGGTGTGGTGCAAAAAGATCCAGTAATCAACATGTAAGCTTATCTCTGTAGAGCGCTTATCGACAGTACGTTGTTCTGTCTTGCCCTACGAAGGTACAGATCCATAGGTTATCATATTTCTATGATATAAAGCCAAAACATTGGACACTAAGTACAACATTCTTTGACAATCATCACCACACCATTTTACAAGTCTACAAAATACCATTAATATAACATGATTTTTCATAATGTAACATCGGCATGTAAACCAAAGGATAAGCTTCAAATGCTACACTCTACAGGAATGTGATAATGAAAAGAAAAGGACAAACAAACCGTACCTGGAAGACAGATAAATCAATTATATGTTATTGTACTGAAGAAGAACACCTTGCGATTGAAACGTTTACTTCAGTAAAGAAGATCTGTCTATACACGCGATTTTATTGGCCAGACAAGCATGGGGGATTACGATTCTTCACATACAGGTTTAATCTTTCAGAGGGAAGTGGCTGTCTGAAGAAGGAAAATGGTTTAAAGTATCTATTCTTGTCTTCTCTATGTTTTTTCGTAGCATTGGCGTGTCATCTGAAATAGTCTTAGGACTTTTTGCTCCAGTAACTCATGAGCTGCACGAACAAGAGTCTTTAGCATCTCATTGCATGCGATAATGAACATAACTTGATCAGATTACTTTGAATTCTATAATATCAAATACCTTTAAATTTGATACTGCTTTAAGTGAAATTGAGCAACCGAGTACTGGTACTAAGATACGCTTAGAAATCAACGAGTCAGTTCGTATAATCAATAAGTCTTCAAATTCAAGTTTTATTGTACTTACCACGAGTTATAATGATGAACAACTGATCATACATGAGAGTACCGTCTACATATCTGCTTCATCCGAACTCCGTTTTTTCGCACGATTATTGGGCGGCATGAAGTTCCGGGTCACGACTGGCAGAAAACTGTTCCAGACCACCATTTAATCACCGGTACCATCAATTAAACTCAAGTACCACTCGTTGCATTCCTTCAAATCTGCATTAACCGTTACTTTGTCTCACGTCTTAATCCAACTCGTTATTCATGCTAACAACTGACACTCGCACCCCGCAAAACGCACGTTTCACCCAGTACGACCGTTGAACCGTAGTCTAGGTCGCGGTGGTACCCTAATCCGTCATGAAAGGTACCCGAACCGACGATCGAACTGGACCGAAGAAGTACAAGAACTATTCGTGTCTGTTTCGGAGTGTCAGAAGATAAGCGACTTGAGAGCAAAGTGGAGGAACTTAGTCTTTATGCAGGTAGTACCTACGGTGAAAAACGCCAGTACAGACGCTTGCCGACGCTGGCCTTTAGCAGCGGCGGAACATTCTTTTCCAAAGGTATGCCAAGTAGGTTTTTTATGGCGGTACTTGCATTTGGTCACGATTTAAAGAATTGCTTGAAATCAAAGTGTTCCCAAAAGCCTTGCAAACATTCTGTACAGGATGAGAATCTGGATTTAGGTAACTGAAGTAGGCTTCTTCGGCATAACGGAAATATCCGGATCCTGCGGCAGGCAGGTAGGTACTGAACATTTTTTGAATAACTTTTTGATTTATTTATTACGGTCCTGTAAATATTATATACAGAAAAAGTGTTTAAGACAATTATGTAGCTCAATAAATAACCTCCAAAAGTTGGCCATACGATATTTTCATATCTACTTTCTTAGAGCTGTGCTTAGTCCATACGTAAATGCGCATAGCTGAGTACAAAAAAGCGTTGTGCTTATTACAAAAACTTGGCCGTTTGGTTTATACAAATGTTGTTAAGGTGATTTGAAATAGTTTTGTCAAAAGCTTAACGATTCTAAGCTTTAGGTCTCAACTAGGGGGGGGGGGGTTGGAATAACATTATTTTCAAAGAAATCTCATCTCATGAGAAACGTTATTTATGCCGTGCTAAATCAAGTATGGTATATATTTATGGCTGTATAAATACCGTTTGATCAACGTATATGTATATACATCTCTAAAATATTGGTAACACTACTACAAAACTAGGAAAAATAGAAAAAAATGTCAGGAATTCAACTCTCCGCTTTCAGTCTACAAGGCAGATGTTCTACCACAAGCATGTTTTTTCTACGTTTTTCGGGATTCTTTTATTTTTACCTGTGTCAAACATACAATCTGGGCAGGTACAATATTTTCAGAAACTATCAAGAGTACTCTCAAATCATCACCATAAGCTGTCCACAATGAATAAAGTGTTGCGGTTTTTGCAAAAATATTGTGATTTTCATACTGGTCCATGAAATATAAATAGTGTTTAAATAACACAACGTGTAGAGAAAAACTGTTCATTCCCTTGCATGAAGAATACGTTCAACCCCTCATGCTGTTATTATTGAGGTTTTATATTCTTCTATTTAGATATGGTTAATAATGTCAAAAAAAATTGCATGCAAGAAATGACTTAAGACATCTAAATTTATTCTGCTTTATTTTCTTTTATAGAAAGTAGATATTTTTGCTCTCCAATACAATTATTCTACAAGTGCGAAATAAGAATCTACAACTGTTCTTTGCTATGGTGATTTTGGAAAGGCCTATGGCCTAAAATAGCAATTAACAGCAAAAAAAATGTGGCTCACTTTAAAATATTTTAGTCTACCAGATACATTTTTAGAGCAATCTTGATGTATTTACGTTGAAATTTAGCCTCTTTAAATCTTTTGTAACTTCCATTTATTACGAATTTTAGAAAATCGATGAATAAACTATTTTATCAATTAGATGCTTAAAAAATTCGCCATACAGGCATTTATGCATGGCTTAGTAGGAGTTCTAAAAGAATTGGCCTAATCTCGTCAAGAACATAGGTATAAAAATATCCGAAGGACAACTTTTCCGGCTTAGTTTTTGAGCTACAAAATTGGTTTAACAACTTTTTCCTATATATATTTACAGTGCCGTAATTAAAAATCAAATATCAATGTTCTTCAAATACATCTCAATTCCTGCCTATGGTAGAATCCGAAACTTCAATAACCTGAATCCTAATTTTTTTCAATTATGGGATTCTTATTAGGTCAAAAGTGTTAATTTGGGCCAATATATTTTTGCGAAGTTTGAATAAAACTCTTCGTTGGGGTACCCGCTCGCAATAGTTCCTCCTAGTACCGAATATTCTTGGTCTGCAAAAGTGCATGAAAGCTTTTAGACGTTGCAAACTGACATGTATCATAGGTATCTCTGCTGACCTCGAGTATGAGGTATAATAGGAGTGACGTCATCATAACTTTATGCCCGTTTTTGCAGCACAGTTAAAACTGTTACTTCAAAATATTGTAGCACATTCTCCAAATTGTTTTGTATTAATTTTTATGTAAACTCTGAAGTCCTTTAAAATATCGCGGTAATAACTGTTCGAAATCAATTTTAAATTAACAGGACGATCAAGCCCTACGCGCACGCCTATGGTTTTGTTTAAAAGAGTAGGGACCTTGGCTGTTGGAATGCTACCCCACCTATGCATCATTGACAGCTGCAAGACTGTTCTTTATGTGAACTCAAGAGTACCTGACCGCTAGCTTGCCAAAAATCCGAACAATGCAAACCGTGCGTCAATGTATAGTGCTACTCAATGGTCCATAGTCAATGGAAATGGATATTATTTAATATTTATGGTATTGCTTTTATTCCTTTATTTGCAGTCACGAAGCAAAGTCCAATGCTGATACACCGTGACTTTTGGAATACACAGATATCACGATCGCTTTTACTTCCCACGCCTACTGACGAGGATAGTATTGTAATTGCGAAAAATTACGAAAATGAGATATTATGCTTCTAGGATGTTATATGACAAGTGTATCCCAGAGAACCATGTTAGTTTTTGTCGGTCGGTGTCTGTCTGTCCGCTAATCTTTGGCCCGTCTATGACTTGGAAAGTACCGCTCGAATTTTGAAGAAGTTTTCACACAAGGTTATTACTATGCCAAGGACGAAAAAGCTTTCCATTTTTTTTTAGATCGGTCCAGTGGCAACGGAGACACAGGAATAAATATCGCTCAAGCTTTTTTAAAGGTAGGGATGTCGTCCAGAGATGCGTAATGGCTAGTCTATTTTTTTCTTAAGTATTCGAGATAAATAATAATTGTTATTTGGAATAGTATCCTACTAACCTGATTGTCATTTTGACAACCGAACACTACCAGAGATCAAGGTTTGACAAAAAACAAGAACGTTTGGCTTGGTAGGACTTCCCTCTAATGGTACTGGCGGATTTAGAGGGGGGGGGGGGGCGCTTGGCGCGCGCCCCCTCCTAGACGTCTGACATTTGCTTTTGCAATCTAACACCATTGTGTTACTTTCTGTCACATCATGGTGACAGAGGCATACTAACTGTAAGCTAAAGGAACTGAGCATTATGATTTTTTGGTATCCTTTCCTCCACAACTCTTACGGTTTATACGTATATACCAGTATTGTGACTTATGACAAATCTAAGTCTGGGTAATATATTCGCTATTCAGATTGCACTTAAAAAGTGATTTATATTCTGTTTGTTGCTCAATAGTAATTTGAAAAGTGTGTAAAGCTTGACTGATTTTGTTCGGGGTTGGTGTTGCAGCGAAGCACTACGCTAGATGAACGCCTAAATTGGAAATAGACATTTATGATATTTGTTTATCGGTGCGCCTGTGGCCTGTCTAGAAACTGCGTCGATCGATGCTCAAAATCAATACCACACGTCCCGCATCTCTCTCGCATTATGTGTCTATTTATGTTGCTATATTGAATTCGATTAAATCACAGAGCTGCTGCACTTTACGTCAATATTTACAGCACTGTATTCCTGTACTTGTTTAGTACAAACATACATTATCAAAATAATTACGATCTAACAGATATAGTTTTTTCCAAGGATTTCCAACATTTCTGCATGCGATCAACATCGCTTTGAAAACTGAGAAAACAACTATACCGTAAATCTAAGTTCGACAACGAAAGTCTGAAAAATAACTGTAACATCTATATTGAATTTCAAAAACCCCAACCCCTACCGGAAGTTGTTGTAGCCAGCATACAACTTCTTCCTGTACAAGTGATTGTACACGCTTTAAGGAATACCTCAGTACCGATTGAGGGTGGCGGTACAAGTCCGCCAACGGGCCACTTTCTGTCTGTTTAATATCATTAACACGCAAAAAGAAGGTGGTACACCTAAGCTATGCAGTCGGTTATCTTTCAAAACAAAGAAATTGATGATGATTGATCCCTCGAGTACTAAGATTTCCGAATGTAAGCTCAGTCCACTCTGTTGTGGAGGTTATGTTTCGGTCAGAACTCGCTGTTTCAGCAGAAACTCGCACAGGCCGCAAAATTTGGCATTACGGACATGCCGACTGGGAGTGGCTCAGAGACTTCCTCTCAATCTTTTCTTGGAAAAATGTCTGTTTTACTGACGCGGATGCGTCGGCTGTCTGTTCTTCGATAACCGAAATTATACACGTCGGAATGATGGAATACATGTATCATACTGCTGATATAATAGAAGTGCTTGATTGTGTCAGTATTTGCATCATTTACTTGATTTACTTAATGGGCAGTTCAGAGTCTTAATCCTTAAGCTTATCACATACTAGTAGACCCCGTTGCGCAATTTGTCTATAGGCAGTCTGGAGACTGTCTCAAGACGGTTTCAAGACACGATCTATAGATGGTCTACAGACATCCTTCTTTGTCTTGTCTAGCGTCCATACGATAATGTGAATTTTTTGGTCTCATGTTCGCTTTCGCAATCAAAGACGTTGTTTTGTATGGAATGGACTGGGATATGTCTCGGGGTCCCTCAGACTGTTTTATTTATTGTTGTCGGGTAACAGAGCAATGCAATTTTTTATGTTTGAATCTTTAATATTATTACACTAGTTAATTATGAATGCCACGTACTTATTTTGTTCTCATATAATAAAATATTGGCTTTCTGAGGATTTATGAGCAATTTCCATGCTTCTTTTCAAGCTGGCCTTGACCAGATAGAACACAATAGATTTAAGGAGCAATAATAGGATAAATTCTAGAAGTTCCACTGAGGTTAAGAAATTACCAGCCTCAAATATCGTTTGCGCCCTCCCCTAGACAAAACCCTGGGTCCGCCCTTGTCTGATGGTCACTATGACACACTATCAGTAACCTGAAAAAGTATACTAAACAATAAATATGTGTTGTATCTTTCAGAGATATTATAAGGAATATGATAGGATCATTTAATATAACTACAGAAAATTCAAAATTCTTGCTGCCGGTTAACAAATAATCTTACATCTTACAACCTTTTCAAAAATGTATTTTTGTAATTTGTAAAATTTATTATAACTACCCATTCACCACTGCATTTATGGAACAAACTAACAGTTAGAACAAGCATTCATGATTTAAATTTAAGATACACGAGCACATTATCCATACCAAGACATCGCACCGCCATGTTTCAGTGCTCTTACTCGTATAATGCCGCTAACTATTATAATGCATTAGAAATCAATACTAGGACTACCACAAATCATCATAAACTTATGTCACTATTAAAACAATATATTTTCAACACACGGTAATACAGAAATTTTGGTATATAGCAACACTGAAATTTCAGAAGTACCTTTCGTTGGTATGTTTGTATGGGCCGTTCCGATGAAAAATACTGCGGGCGCCCATGGTAATTGGCATGTTGTTGCATCTGTATGTACAACATTTGTGACTAAACTTTATACTCAGGAATATTCGAAAACAAATGATGGTAAACTAATATTAGGTAGAGCTAGCCATATAGCTTCCCTGCGTTAGTCTTAATGTTTGGAAAAAGATGTTTATGCTGTTAATCTTTAACACCTTTTAGTCCCATAAGAAGGTGAAATGGTCCAGTCCGCATGACAAGTCTGTGAGTATGAAATGCCATGATTGTTGATCTACGTATATGTTGTGGTAAATCACAATGAAAATATTCAAATTTTATAAAATCGAATATAGTCATATATTTCAGAGTTTAGAGTTTAGATATGCCCATATGTACTTTTGGATATGGATCTATGGTAGGTACCAAAGGGGTCAGTCCACTTTTATTAGTATTCACTATCAATAGGCTGGCAAGTACTCCTACCACTAAAAGTTTCAAATGTTTCATAATTAAAAATTTTAAATTTATCGTCTTGTGTCTAGGAAACAAATGATATGTGAATCACTACGGAGACAAGTATTAGACAAAGTTACAAAACAAGCCTACGGGGTGTTCAAAATCGACTCTCGATCTCGGAAACAGTAAGAGATACGTCAGTCATACGTAAGTCAGTTAAATTGGAGCAAAGTTGTGTATTTAGCTAACCATAAAAATTGTACATAGAATAAAATAAAGAATGTATGATTACTATATATTTTTATAATCAGAAATAAAAATTCTATTCACTTGTGCAAAAATCCATTATAGCGTAAGAAAAAATAAAGTTGATAATTGAGGACCTGAGACGAAATTCTAATCATGACTTCTTGTAGAGGAGAAAAAATTACAAATTACAAATAATTTGGGAATTTGGGAAAAACTCTGTTTTTCTTTTCGTTCCGGAAATCGTGTTCAATCTTGCCCCCATTTAATCGATGTATGGTTTACTGTTTCGAGATCCCAATGGTGAGAGTCGAACTTGAAACACACGGTATATTTGTCTATTCCACAACTAGATTATGATGGAGTAAGTGATTAGGTTACAGATATTTGCATATTTGAATAGATGTTTCTGGGTGAAATGAAGTATAGATAAGAAGATTATGATGGAAAATTTTGTCTCAAATGTTATTTACTTGTTTGCCGAGTCTTAATGACTTATCTATGATAACATAATCTGTACCTCCAGTAATGATCTTCGGTATGAATTATTTAGGTATCTTTTAAAATAAACTATTTGATACGTAAATCCAGAATGTGATCAAGAAAAGTTTCTTCCAATATTTACAAAATCTTGAATGCAACCAGCAAATTAGCAAGAATTAGTAAGAATATTGTTACCTATCTATAAAGAGTCTACTATTTCTTTTTGGATGTATAAGTACACATCTGAGTTGATATATTCACTTAAAAATCGAATAAAGAGGTATAAAAATCGGGAGAATTAAACATTAAGTATGTTGCTGTTCAAGCTCTGATGATTTTTCGTCGCCATTATTCTTGATAAGCTTATAAAAACAGTAAAGACTAGTAATATATCAATCCTATTTCCATTTACTGAATTCTAACTACATAGAGTAACAAAAATCGTGTTGTGAAGGACGTGTAAATCAATGGTTTAGTCGCTACGTCAATTCATCACTGTTAGAAAGTATTGATAAATTAATTTTATAATTACAGTTTTATAGAAAGTTCCAATGAGTGAGATCGTTTCGGAATATAGAAGTGTAACAAGTTCACATCCTAAATATTTATGATAAGACATTATCTTTTGAGATTAATTACTCCATATAAACTAATAGTTAAAACCATGCACTATTTTCTAAGGCCTGGTGCATCTGGAGGGCATAAACTAGTACAAGGTTTTTGTTTATGTTTTGCGTCACATTAATGATAGGAATGTATTACAATACGTTGGATAATTTTTCTTTCAACTACATATATCTCAACGAGTGTTGTATCTTGATTCAGATTAATCCTATTCACTTACTCATTTTTGAAAAATTCTCAGATCTTACGTATTGTCTGACACTTCATTACAAGCTTTTATTTGTATGTGTGAGACAAATCTTGGAACTGAATTTTGAACCAGTTAGTCTTAACCAATTGAGCTGAAATTTTGTTCACACGTGGTTTCACCTCAGTATTTCAATGCGGCGTCTAAAACAAGCTGCATGCGTTACCAAATTATTACAAGCTTTATGTATTATGTTTACTAAACATAATATCTTTATTTCTTGTAATATAAGTAAAATTTGACAGTGCCAAGTCGATGATGTCCTTAACATTGACGTTATTACTGTTGTCTTTTTGTAGAAAAAATTGAGTTTGGAAAAGTCATTCTGAGGACATTACCTGAAAGTTGTGTAAACTTTTTCTCCACGTTTAAGCAGCGCTGTCATCTTATGCCTTCCATGGATTTGTTTCCAAAATATTTATAGCTTCCATATTTTTTTCTATTATTTACTGATTAAATTAGTTCTCAACAAGTCCAACACGATTTGAATCCGGTATTGTGTTTTATAATCCAGATCCGAAAGATAAATTTTACGTTAAATCCATCCCTGTATTTAACACCTACAAGGTGAAAAATCCAAGCTCTAAATTTTTACTGAGAGATAGGGTAAAATCAAAAAAGTACATGATTCATCATGTAGCAGACATCACCTTGGACTTTGATGTGCTGTGGTCAATTACACCACTTTTATAATTTATTTATTTGCTATAATTATATCACAATTTCGTTGTTGAATACACAGTAAATATATATGTATTATTATTGTCCGCATTCCCCCAACAAAAATATGTTTTTCCCTGTCTAGCTGAATAATTATAAAAAGTATGGATGCCATTTGAAATTGTATTCTGTCAACGTCATTATGTCAGTTTAACAACTGAACATTAAATGTTCATAAAATATAAATTTCATATTTCGGAATAATTGAAAATTATTGAGAATTACGTAATACTGGAGCATAGCACACGTACCTATTATTCTTGAATATCACAATAATCCCATAATATTGGAAAACGTCTTTCAATGTTAACCGAAGGAAAATACAACCAGCCAACATTTGCAATAATCAAAATTTTGCAAAATATTTGAAAAACAAGTTGGAAACGTTATGATTGTACGATTGTACGATACTTTGTGATAGTACTGGCAGTAAAAAGAATCATATATCTGGTTTGTGGCTGAAAATATGTGAAATTCGTAATGAATTTGCTTCCGTATAAGAATGGTGTGTAGATTAAGTATTAAAAATATTATCTTATGATTGTTTCACAGAATTCCTTAGTTTTGTTTGCTTTGTGCTTGCCGGCGTTAAATGTACGGAAGATATATGGACGAGATTTTTTCGTATTGGGATGTATTTTGAAATATCGAAATTACCTGTCTCATGACCTTGCATAAGTACGCATAATCACCGAAATAATGAATTGACTGACATTTATGACTTCACATCACATGTCGGACTACGTGCAACTCTAAGGAAGGTTACCTATTGCGTACAATTATTTTTGATTCCCTCAACTAAGTGAGTCATTACTTCATAGTAAATCAAATGTCTTCAACAACAGTCTGTGTAAAGCACCGTATCTTTCCACGGATTTAATAAACAAATCAAAGATTACCATGTTTACATAATCTGCATTTTCCAGTTTATCGTAACTGATAATGAGGGGTCAAGTATGGTTAACACAGGCTCCAATAATTGTCTATATAAACTTTTGTATCGACAACTGGACACTCAGTCTTGTCTTGATCGATTCTGAACATACGCTTTTGACTACGGTTTAGCTTTTCATATCAAACACAATGTTCAAGTTTGTTACTGTGTTGGTTGTTGCCATTTTGGTGATCCAGGTATGTGGACATGTACAATTATTCTAATTTCAACCGCGAAAAAATATTTTCGCGACAATTAAATCCAAGTTGTTAAAAGATTAATAAATCACAATTTTGACATAAATTGCAGCTAAACTCAGCGAGATTCAAGCCGTAAGGTTAGTAGTAGTCTAGCATCAATTTTGTGTTCCCCTCGCGTGAAAGGGAAATGAGCATTTCCCAGGTTGTAAGTGGAGATTTATGAAAATGTATGTGCCACCGATAATAAGGAACAAAAATGTTGACTTGTTGGGGGGGGGGGGGGGGGTTTCGCTTACTTTTTACAAAACTGAAAACTGAATCCAAATATTGATAAGCTACTATCCATCCATCAAGTGCATATATCCCATTAACACTCTGACTTATTATACTATTTTAGCACCACACGCGCGTGCGCGACTGGCCTAAAAATTCACATGATCTAATGTGCCGGAAATCTCGCTTTTATTACCTAGCAGAATGTTACTGTTACGTGACAAGACTTCGTATCGGCATATCCTAATAATGCAAATTCTTATCATGTGAGCAAATGTAGAATGTGCTTTAAAAGTATTATTATTATTGGGAAATATTCTTTAAGATCTAAAACGTACATTCCAAGATTGTGAATATACCTTTCCATGTGGGTAGACACACGAACGAATCCACCATAAATTGTACTTTTGGCGATACAGGGCGCTTCCACCATAATTTAAGAGATTTAATGTTTGAGTGTTTTCGTTAAGGCTGCAAATTTTGAAATATTCGCGGTAAAGCTCAATGCGTGGTGTTCAAAACGACCAACGATAGCTATTTGCATAAATAGAATGTTGCATATTAAGCTGTTTTTCATCTTCGCGGTTAATATAATCATTATTTCCAGGGCGCTGTAGATGCCAAACCTAAGGCCAAATCCCAGGAGCACTCGCAACTACAGGAACTGGCTGCTAACGCCCAGACAGTGGTCAAGGATGTAACAGACACCCTCTCAGGCCAATTGCCTGATTCAAAGAAAGTGGTTGACACCTTGAACAGCAATGCTCAAACCCTTGCCAACAGCGTGCAGGACGTCGTCGACAAGCTCAAGTCTGAGGTAACAAAATACTTTTTTTGTACAATTTCACATTCTAAGACTATCTTATAGTAAAGCAGGAATGGACACATCGTAAGTATAAAGTAAGTGCAGCCTTGAGAACAGTAGTCTAAGAGGTATGAAGTGTTATTTGTACTCATTTTGGAATTCTAGATTAATTCAACCTAATAACTTTTTTAAATAGGTTGCTACAAAAAACTTATGCGAGAATCAGATACAACTTAGAGTGCCTGCTTGACCAACTTAATGCGATTTAATGGAATCAAGAATATTCGAATAAGTACACATTATATCACTTACAATAAGCTTTAAAAATACACATGTTTGTGTGTGTGGTTCACTATCAATGGACCACTCTGTATACTGCTAATTCAAGAATTTTGTTAATCTTGCGAGTAATGGTGTATCACTTTACAGGTCGCCAATCATCAAGGAGACATTGAGAGCGTCTTGAAACAAGTATCCGAGAAACTGTCTGAAACTAAAACCAACCTTCAGAAAGCTCTGGGACCTGAGGGACAAAAGAAGGCTAATGAAATCAAAACCGATCTGGACAAAGGACTCAAAGAAGCCGTCGCCCAGGTTGAAAAACTCACCAAAGCCATTGAACCCGAAGCAAATAGTAAGTAAAAATGAAATAGGTATAAAATATGAAACATCGTCGAGCTTCGGTTCTAATACAGATGTATGCAATCTTGCAACATTAAGGAAACATTCCCTTCTCTATGGATCGATGTTTGATTGAGATGTTGTTTCTTGGTCTTCCATTGTCTCTAAGATTTTTTGATTTACGACGTTTCGATTGTCAATTGTCAGCAAGGCGAACATGCTGCTTTCTCGACCATTTATACCGTTGGTTTGTTGTGAGTATTGACGTGTCCTATGTTCCGGTTGGCTGAGTTAGTTTTTTGATGTTTCTTAAAGTCGGTAGTCATACTGGTTTAATTTCCACACTTGAATTACAGTAAACAATTTCATTCATAATTATCAATGCCGCTTATTTGAGTTTTTCCCGATGCCAATTTTCTTTGTGTAAGATCTGAGCTTGATCCCAAAGAATTCTGTGGTGCCTTGTCCAAATATTATCTGCTATCCCAGACTTATCTGTTTCTTCCCGTTTTGTGTATGTTTCACATGGCACATCAATACCTGATGTTCTGGTTTTTGTTCATAGGTTTTGTCTCAGTGAGAGTACTGTGAAGTTTGGTGTTGCTTGAAAACCTACTAATTCGTCTTCTCGTTCTTCTGATCGCCTCACTTATTTCCTCAGCATATAGTAGAATTAGTGTATGCTGGGGTGTTCTCACTGTTGTTGGGATCATGCTAAGGTCTTATGCAGGTGTGGAATTTAAAGTATGACAACCGATTGTGTTGCTTGAAAATCTATTAAATCGTCTTCGGATTCTTTTGACTGCCTCACCTTGTTCGGTCCGCAGTGCCAAAGACCAACATGATATAAATAAGTTAGGCACAGGGTAATTTCTCACCGCAATGACAGTCGGTCTTAATGGACGCTGGTCAAGCAGATTGCAAGGAACTGCTCACAGAGTAGCTTTCCACCACTTACTTGCCACGATAGAACGATTGTAATCGACTCAAATGCTAAGGCGGAAGTGCTTGCAAAGATCCTTGCTGCCAACTCCACCACGGACATCCCTCCCAACACCCGAGTGCCGTCGATTCAAAGGTTTCCCTGCACTATGCGGGAAGTAACATTCAGGCATAAGACCGGACGGACGAGTGCCGTTGTCGCTCGATATCAACAAAGCTTCTGGTCTGGACTTGATTCCTGCCGTTGTATTGAAGAGTGTGCTGAGGAGTTTGCCCCAGTTCTTTGGCATCTCTTCCAGATATTTTACGAATTTGGCGCCTTTCCAAAAAATGATCTAGGACCGACCATTAAAACTGCATGCCTATAGCTCTGCTTTCTATTATAAGTAAAAGGTGATTGAGAGGTGCATAAATCGCGAGCTTCTGGACTACCTCGAACGTCACGGCTTGATTAGCGACAGGCAGTATGGTTTCGGTACCAGTGATCCACAGAGGACCTTATAGCATACGTCAGGCAATTGTGAAGTAAACTCATCCAGCGTTATGTCGCTGCTCTTTTGATATCACGAAAGCGTGCGATCAGCTGTGGCATCCTATAGCCTCCCAGAGAAGCTTTGCAGATGGGCTAACTTTCTCTCTGGCCGCAAGATATCCGTCGTGATTGACGAGTTCTCCTCTTCATCCTACAACGTCAGCGCGGGTGTTTCCCAGGGACTGGTATTGGCGTCGATACTGTTCCTCTTACATATCAACGACCTTCCTTCCTATACGATCAATCCAATCCACAGCTTGGCCGATGACAGCGCGCTAGAGCGATAAGCCGATCTCTGCCAGCGAGCTGGAAAAAAGACGACTAGCAGCGACTTCCTGTCTGACGAGAGGTCTGGAGGTTATCACTGCTTATAGACGCAACAATCTGGTACAGTTTAACTCTTACAAAACTCAATATTATACCTAGACAAACAAAAAGCGTCTCAGTGCTCAGCCGGTTTTGATCGATGGCCGAGTTCTGCCAAGGAGCCGTTCATTTCGGCTGGTCGGAGTTCAAATCACCGAAGACATGATCTGGCACGAACACATCGGCAGCTGCTGGGAAAAGTTAGGTCATTTGTTCAGGGCTAAGAAGTACTTTTCTCCACATGACCTCATCTCCTATAAAAGGTCCAGATGATTTTTTTGATGAATAAAATATCTGTGTGATTTTAAGTATACCAGATAAATAAATTGTGATTGGTTGAAATTTTTGACAATTTAGTCACAAGGGTTGATAGTAGGACTGATGCAAGTTTATGGCAAATAACTTTTTTTATTTCGGCTTTTCTAAAAAATTCTATTGTTGGTATGCTACTGTTCAGACAAACGCTTTTAAAAAGACAGTACATAATTTTGCTAAATAAAACTTTTTTGTTACAGAAGTAAAGGAGGACGTAACGAAGGCAGCCAAGAACTTCTTGGACCAGATCGTTGAAGTAAGCAAAAACTTACAGAAACAACTGGAAACTGCCGGTAAAGCCTAAGAAGATATCGTGTGAATGATTACTGAGCAACCAAAGTATTTTTTATAATTTATTTCTTTTGTAAATTTCTTCGTATCTCCAGAAACTGCAATATTGCAAAATATATGTTAAGAGTACAAAAATGTAGCACTAGTGATCATCAAGAATACATATACTTCAACACGAATGATTGCTGTTTAATTCCTCTCGATGACTGTGTGACATAGCTTTTCATAAAGTAACAAAAGATGCTATTGTTATGGGATCAAATCAGCTAAGATAATTTCAGAATGGTGGCACATCCGGTTGTATGGGGAGTAGATGCCAACATAAAATAGACAGTTAAATAGTCGTATTTAATGGAGTAAATAATTCTCAAAACAGTAAAATACTAACTGATCCAAAGAACAGGCGAAGTCTATCCCAGGTTTACTCTAACTTAGCCTGCTAATCAGATGATATATTAACATTAAATGCAAATTAAGAATGCTTAACACTAACTAGACTACACGGAATGTGAATGTCTTATTTTTACAGTCAATACAAAAACAAAAGAAATAACATACAATAACCTCATGCAACAATCAATCTGGTAATAACTGAAAGATTAGTAGTGCGTCTCATTGTACACTTCATTTTGTTTACGCAAAAGTGTTTTCAGAATGGATCTCTATTAATTAGTTGACTATATATCCGGGACAGAGGCTAATTGCTATGCTTATATCTGTTGTCCCGGAAACCAAACCTACAACATGCTGATGAGTTGCCAAAAAAGAACGAAACATCTGTCTGTGGTTGGCTGTCTTGGATTGGACGGACAAAAGTAGCATGTTTAAGTTAGACCCTCTAAGAAAAAAGTCAGTTACGAACACGTATAAAAGAGAAATTAAGCGAATCAAGTCCGTCAAATAGTTCCATAACATTCTTTCCATTGCCTTCCCGTAGTACCGTCTATCTGGCAACGTCGGGACGCCTCTCCCCAATATTCGAAAATATGATGCGTCACACGCGGCAGTTTGCCCACAGAGAATCAGTCATGCAGGTCACATACGAACACCGGTACGCCGTCCGTGAATTCAGCAGACGCAGGGACGCTCGTCGAAAACATTTTTCTATTATTCTAAGTTTTAAGGACAAATGATGTGTGACACATGTCTAATAGGTGCGTATAATTATTGGGGTTAGAAGCGTATTAACATACTAACAAAAAATTGCGGCTTGTCCTCCTCCGGCTCCTACAGCTTCCACCCTCGACTGTTTACTGATAACAAATTTTGAAAAACGATTATGATCCTGAAACGCCAAAAGACGAGGTTTGACCGATTTTAACTTTTTTCATTTTTGGCCTTCTCCACCGCCACCGAACCGATTTTCTAAAACTGCACTGCTTTGTCGTCCTTGACATATTAATAACCTTGTATGGAAATTTCAACAAAATCCGACCGGTACTTTCCAAGTCATAGGCGGGCCAAGGAATAGCGGACACCAACAGATCGACATGGTTTTTCGTGATGAAAATGTCATATAACATCCAAAAAAATAGATATTTAATTTTCGAAATTTTTCTCTATTCCTCGCCAGTACAGTCCAAGAAATGAATAACATACATCAATAAGAAAATTGGAATCCACTTCTTATATAGCTAGGAGCGCCACCATTTTGAAAATACTTTAGACGAATAGCTTTAATCAGTTAACCTATAAATCCAAATCTTCATAATTAACTCACGTCATCTTCTCGAGTGACCAGTCGCTGCAGTTTTACGTGGAATATCCTGTATAGTAAAAAAAGAATGCATGTGTACAACATAACGAACTTTATTTTATGACAACTAATAAGTTGCTGTTAAAGATGCATACTCGAAGCACATCCCCTAGAACTCACTGGCATTTGCCACGAACACAGAGCTGCTCGTGGGGGTCGTATACCTTACTGGGCGAACAGGACCTCAAATTCAAGCTGTACCACCACCAGATCTTGACGCATTCGTAATATTGGTTGCAGTTTGGCGCAACAAAAACTCCAGGGCCGGTCTCCTCACATGTTGGCGGAAGCACTGGAAGGCATTGAATCCTGTGATAGCCTTCCTGACTTAATCATAGCTCAAGGTCGCATGCCCTTTTTTTGTTAACTGCCGGTTTGGAGCAATATTCTAAATCTTTTCCATCTGATTCTTTCACGGTGTGTATATATATGACTAAAAAACAGCGTTTTCAATTCTTTTGCCAAAATATGCATTTTTTGTGCATTTTATTGAGCATTTTTTACAATCCTAACTTTTTGACAAATGTTAGTAGAGGTCTGCAATTGTCTGTCAGAAGTCCACTTTTATAGTAGAATTGAGCAGGTGATTACTTTTATCCTTATCAGTTTTTCTCTTCGAAAAATCTTCGAGGTACTGTTGCGTCTTGTAGAACGCTTTTCATGAATTTTTTTCCCAAAACATTGTATTTTATTTCCCCCATTATTTCCACCGCCATCTACCATATGACGCTGACGTCTGTGGATATGTCATATATGAGAGGCGCTTGCCTACGGTGTTGCCGAATTGGGCTCCGTAGTTAGGGAAAAATATGAAAAGTGGAAAATTTATATACAGTTATATTAATGAAACACAAAAACAAAAAACTGAAACAAACAACAGTAGTAAAATTAACAGTAATTCTTAGTAGGTATAAAACAAAAAATAACAAAAAGCAGTAAAATAAAAAGTAATTCTAAGCGATTATAAAAAACAAAAAGTGAAAACAGTAGTAAAACAAAAAAAAAACAATTCCATTTAATTATAAAAAAAAATAACAAACAGTAAAATTTGGATGGTATAAAATTGTTCTTCGTTTTACTACTGTTTTTACTTTTTGTTTTGTGATGTCACTTAGAATTGCTTTTTATTCAACATGGAATTGTTTTTTTTTGTTTTACTGTTTTTATTTGTTGTTTTTTATAATCACTTTGAATTGCTTTTTATTTTACTGCTGTTTGTTATTTTTTGTTTTTTTTACAATTACTTATTTATAATTTATCATTATTTAGCTTACTACTGTTATTTTTTGATTTATACCTTTATTTTGCTACTGTTGTTTGTTTCAGTTTTTCGTTTTTGTGATTCATCAATTAATATACATATGTATATAAATTTTCAAATTTTTATGTTATTCCCTAAATGCGGAGCCCAATCCGGCAACACCGCAGACAAGCGCCTCTCATATATGACATATGCACAGACGTCAACGCTAAAAATACAATGTTTTGGGAAAATTTTTTCATGAAAAGCGTGCTTCAACCACACTTTTTTTTGTTTCTAAATAATCTAACAGACTAGCCTCGAAAAGTTTTCAGAGAAAAAACAGTGAAATCGGAAGTTCTACAAGACGCAACAGCACCAGTCTTCGATGTTCTTGATATTTCATTTTGCAGCAAATTGAGTTTTCAAGGCAGATATTTTTTGAAGAGAGAAAGTGATAAGAAAGGAGTAATCACTCACTCGATTACATACAATTTTAGAGTTGTACTATTATTTGTTACTTTTTAAGAAAAAATGGATAAAAGTGCACAAATATTGCCATTTTTGACACACACAGATAACATTGTTTCAGTCATATTTATACACACCACGAAACTATTAGATAACAAAATAAATTGCATAGAATGTACAAGGGGAAATAAAAAACACAGACAACATTTCTAGCACAGCAAGTACACACAAACACAAATACTAGTTGTTTTTAGAATCACCCTGGCTTGGCGTGTCATCCTTTTATTTTCTGAACCAAATTCCAAATAAACGTTTATATAAGCATGTCTCCGAAAAGTCGGGTTTTCAAAATACAGAGTGTCAAAGCTGAAAACAAAACGTTTCTTATCAATACCTAAAACATTTCTTATCAATACCTCAAACATGTTTATGTCGATGTTCTTGAATTTTGGCTGTGATGTCTATCGCAATAAGACGTTAAGTTAGCACTAAGTAGAAGATAATGTAACGGAAACACCCTTTTCACTATTTAAAGTCTAATTTATTACTCTCACACTAATTCATTATCAATTTATAATGTATCGACTGAACTATCCCATCTCGCACTGTAGCTGACTCAGTAGTCGACTTTCCGATTATAACATCGGGGCGCCTATTTATTTCAAGTCTAGAGCCTTTCAGGCAGAACGCAAGCATTCATCGAAGCTTGCTAGATAGCATTCGATGACGGCAGATGCTTCCCGATGGTTGTCGATGTTTCGAAGGTACCTCAACGTTGACACTCTGTATCTTGATCTTGTTTCTGGTTGCACTTAGATCAAGAATGTGCCTCTACGGTCTATTATAAATAAGATCCCGTAGAGTGAAACAGACTCTGCCTTACATTTTTTCATCATGTTGCGTGAAGCACAGGATGTCTCGCTGTAACTTCTTCATATGGCCCTTATTGAAAAGTGTACAAAAGTTAGAGGTTTTAATGTCTGCAGCTCAGAGATAAACAGCCATAAGTGCAGTATGTATTTTGTCTCAGAAAAGGGATATTGAGTTAAGTTCTCTTTTTTAAAATGAAACACTGTATATTTTTAGCTAACGATAGGCGCTTTTTTAGCCACAATAAATACAGGGTGGCCGGAAATTCAGCCAAATGGTGATTTGCAAGAAATTAACCGCCACTAATTGGTGGTAACTGATAACTCGTTTATTAAGTATGTTCATTTTAGGATTTGTGGAATTATTTCTGACATGTCATCTTAAAAGTTTACAAAAAAGTAACTTTTTCGACATTCTTAATATGATAGAAATGAAGTAACTTACGTGAACAGTCACTTTGTCACTTTGCTTATTATGTTTCCCTCATCATTGTCCATTTATTTGATACCCATAGTAAAGGGGAGACTGAAAACGATTGGAATCACCATGCTGCTGCGGCCATATTGGAATGAAGATGACATCACTATGCTCATTGTGTTTCCCTCATCAAGCATTTTTTTGAGACACATGTAACGGTGACTATGAAATATGTAAATCGCCATTTTGTGTCGGCCGACATATTGGAATTGGAACCACGTCACTTTACTTGTTGTGTTTCTCTCATCAAGCCCATTAATTCGATACCCATATCTTGGAGGTTAGTATTGGATTCAAAATGGCGGCAGTTAATTCATTCTGTTTTGTCACGCAAACCAAACGAGTGTATAAAATTTCAATTCAATTGGTACAGGTTATCTGGTTCAAAATCCATTTCCAAAATTTATCACATACATACATACTATCAAACAGGTCAAGTTAAATAAAGGGTTGTTTTAAAAAAAATGACCTATCATTTCTACTAAGAATGTACAGTGTGTTTTTATATCACACCCACAACTTTTGAATCAACCATTTTTTATATGGGTATACAAGATGAATATGTTACCATTTCTTGTTTTAGGAACCTTTCTACAGCTTCCAGTAACACAGCCATTAGCTATGTCGCTATATTTTTGACCAGCTGGGCAAGTATGCAATTCAGCGGTGAACCACCAGAATTGTTTTATGCATATATAATACTGATCGCAGTTTTGTGCCGGGAATACTCCTTCCTTGACTTGGTAACAGTTCGGTTGTCGTACTGAAAATAATAAGACTATATTAAGCCAATCATATTCGGTATCGGTAGCTCATATTCTCTATAGTACTAGCACGACCAATAAAGACAATTATATAATGGAAAATGCTGTACCCAAATAGCACAATTATTATAACGTGACGACGTTTTGAAAACGTCTTTTTGAGAAATCCGAGACGTCTTGTGAATGCTGTACGACATCGTAAAGACCTTGTAAAGGCAATGTGTGTTAGAAAAAACTAAGCGCCTTGAAGACGTATTTATAATACGTTCGTAGTGGAAGACATAATATACAAATTTTCTTGAAATATGAAAGTGTAATTTTTTTATATCTTGCAACTGACGCAAGTTACAACTGTATATACGGTATATCTCAATATCCGTGGTCATAGAAGTACCACATAAGACTCAAAATTAGTTGATTGGAAATGATTTAGTTCTATGCCTCGTTTCACCGTTAAAACACATTTTTTCAGATATTTTTGGAACCTATAGTCCGAATTAAATTAAATTTGGAACACATATGCATTGCTACACTTCCTGATATTTGACTTTTACAAAAAACCCGAAAGGTGTGAAAACTATCCCCACCCCTACATAAATTATACTCGTATCAGAATTTTTTAGTAACTCTTCTAACGGGTCTGAATTTTTTTTATTTGAATTGACCTTTTATTTGCTTCATTTTTTGTCTATAATGAAAACAGGCCACTTCGCATAGTGTTCGAAAAAAAAATTTTTATTCCGAGCTGGTTTCTGAAAAATTTTCTTATTACATCAAGTGTTAAAATCTAGTAGGCTTCTGGGCGGAAATGTGTGATGTTATGTCACTTTATGAAGCTTGTTCTCAAAAATAATATAACACTGACACAACATCCCTCCAACCAGATGCCTACTAGATTTTAACACTTGATGAAATAAAAGAATTTTGTTAGAAACCAGCATCGAAAAACATTTTTTGTCGAAAACTATGCGAGTTAGCCTCTTTTTATAGAAAAAATTGAAGCAAATGAAAGGGCCTTCGAAATAAAAAAAAAACAGAGTCGTTAAGGTAGTTGCGAAAAAATTCTGCAATAATTTATGTAGGGGGTGGGGGCAGTTTTCATTCTTCTTGAACCCTTTTGGGTTTTTGTAAAAAAAGTCAAATATTTGGACATCTAGCAGAACACATGTGTGTTCCAAAATTTCATGTAAATCAAACTATCCGTACCGAAAGTATCTGAAAAGTGTCCAATCGACTTTCTGTGTCTAAAAATACATGGTACTTCTATATCCACGGAATATTCCGACACCCTGTATAAAGTTACGTTTCTCTCCTTGAATGCCTCAAACCCTCAAGTTCTACCTTCAAAACACATAGTTTCCCAAATTGACCCTTAGCTGCATACAATTGCACTGATAAAAAGCTTTAAATTTTGATTCAAGCATAATAATAATTTCGTCAATGACATACTTCTTTTAGGCTTTGCTTTTCTGTTTTCAGAATCATCACTAATTTCCATTATGACGCCCAAACCCTCTAACGATTCATCTTCGGACTCTATAGAAGATGGTAGTGCTCCTAAAAACAATAGGCAATGTGTAGTAAGAATATTAGTACTCATTGTGCGATACGTTCTTTAATATTTGCATTTCGTAATGACACTGCCCTGGTGGCCCAGTCGTGTTCTGGGGGTCTAGTTCACGACAGGCTGCAAAGTGCAGTGGACAAGGTATTGGAATGGGCGAATCGGTGGCTGATCAAAATTAATCATTCGAAAACGCATGCAATCTATTGTACTAAAAAACGTAGCGGCGCCCCGTCTGAGGTTTCAGTGAATGGAGCTCGGGTACCATGGGAAAGCTCTCCTAAGTATCTCGGTGTCACTCTTGACAAAGGGATGACCTGGCAGAAGCACACTGAAGCGTTAAAAACCAAATTCCAGATCTCGTTTCGCAACTCTACCCTATGCTATGTAGAACATCAAAATTAAGTTTGATCAACAAAGTTCGGCTATACAAGATGGTTATTAGACCAGCGGTCACTTACGCAAGTGCAGCTTCGTGTTTTCTCTCCAGAACGCATTTGCGTAGCCTGCAGGTTTTGCAGAACAGAACCTTGCGTACAATCACTAACGCCCCATGGTATGGTTCCAACGAGACCCTTCACAGAGACCTTGAGATGCCTTACCTAAGCGACTACAACAAACAACAAACGCAGCTACGTTACAGTCAAGCGGAATCACATAAGAACCCTTTGATTTTAGGCCCAACAAAAATTATAATTTTTCTTCAACAACCAATCCCAAAATTAATTTAAGGATCAATATAAAATTGTCGAATACTAATTAGCAATGTCAAGGCACCTCTCAAATTGACGCACTTCTTTTTTCTTTGCTCTCCCTCCTTCCGTCCTTTCTTCTTCCCTTCTTTCTCCCTGACTTTGTTTGGTATCTGGGCAAGCAGACCTGACAGACCTACTGACTTTCAAGACTTTAATCAAGAACAAAGGTCATACGGACCGCTCTGACAGACAATGACGAATAGAAATGCAGATCTTATTGATTTGGTTTTGTGGTCAGATGAATCGCTTTTTACGAGGACTGGAACCTTTAATTCTCATAATGAACATATTTGGTCGTTAGAAAATCCCCAATCTGTAAGAATCCACTCCACTTTCAACACATATTTTCTAGAAATGTCTGATGCGGCATTTTCAATGGTATTGCCACAAAGTTTAAATGCATACTTAGCTTTTCTAGAGAATTACATAGAAAATGTGTTAGATTATGTTCCGTTAGCAACGAAAGTACGAATGTGGTATCAGCACGACGGTGCCCCACAGCATGTTCGTCGTGACAAAACTGCATGGTTGAATAATCATTTTAGACAACGATGGATTGGCAGAAACGTACCCTTACATTGGCCGGCGAGGTCTCCTGATTTGAGCCCCCTGGATGTGTGGAGCTTTTGAATAACTAGTGTTTGCTGATCAAATTAGTACTGTTGGTCAGTTACAAGAAAGAATAGTTAATGCATTTAATCAAACTCAAGTCACAACAAATTTTGCAGAAGTACGTTTTTCTTTATTGAAAAGATGCCGCACTCGTATCCGTCAGAATGGTGGTATTTTTGAACATTTTTTGAAATAAAGCTTTGATTATCTAATTTGTTTTTTTTATTTTTACGAAAACAGTTCACTCTAGGGAAAAAACACGGCAGTAATTATTTGTAGCAAATTGAAGGTAAAATTAAAAAAATTGCGCGGTTCGAAAAAACAGTGGCGTACCATTTTTATTTGGAAAATAATGCCATCTCCTGTATCTCCGCCACTGGTGCAAGTTAATTTTACGTAAAGACTTTTGAATGTGAACAATGCTTAGATAAATCCACATACCAAATTTAAGGTCATTCCAATTGACGGTTTTGAAGATGTTAATTTTTTTTTATTCTTAAACTTCAACACCCCGTATCTTTTTAATGAAGCCCACTTTTCGGAAGCATTTTCCAAAATATATAAATATGGAACTTTGCCAGCCTTCAACCAACCCTTATCTCTTACTTTTTGGAGATGACAATGCTGAAGATACTATAAATTTGTTTTTCAAAGCATTCTAGAACAAAGTAGGCACATGTCCTTTTACATATTCTATGCAACCATTTTTGGCTATATGACGAAATTTCAAATAGTTATATAAAAACAACGAATAAATTCCGACAAAGAGAAATTATTTCCGGAATTGGTAAAATATGTAATACTAAACGATGTACGGTGTTCAATTTGAAAAAAAAATCGTTTCATTTGTCATGTCGGTATGTATCACTTTGTAGGGAACGGTATATTCCAAGTAGGAAGCGTTTAGTCCACAATTTTTGTAAATACCATTTTTGATCATGTTTTATAGTAATGGAAATATTGTTGAATTAGATACCAGAAACTCACCATGTATGTCTAATTTGGTGCAGTAGTTACGTCGGATTACGTGGATAGCTTGAGCATTTTATGTAATAACCAATTAACTGTTTGCAATGAACTGGATATATCCATTTTGAAGGCGTTTCCATCCCTTTCTCAAATCTTCTATAGACTTGACTAACCTTGATTTTTATAAAACCCAGAATGCTTTATTTCGAGATGAGGGGCCTTTGCATTCACTCTAATGAATCTATAAAAACTCTTCAGTACAATTTCTTTTACAACAGGGCTTACATTTAGTTGTAGTTACCCTGATCAAATGAATTTTTGACTTTTCTAGAACACATATTATGACAGAAGTTTCAAGATTTTTCATCGCAGATTCCACTCCACATATTTTCCAATTGTACATCTCGTGTTGCGTTTGGAGTTATACAAAAGTGAGTGGGTGATTAGAATTTGAAAAACGAGTTTTGTCGGATATCACAATCTTTAAATCCTACGAATAATCTCGTGACTACGACTTAAAATATATCAACAAAGTTTGACTTCTTTCTGAGTTTTGCCTCCTGTAAGGAAATTTTTGATTGCTTTCAAAATCACCAGAAAGGTAAAGTCATTAAGCAGGCCTTTCAAAATTTATTCAAATTCCAGCAATACTTTTCAGGTTATAGAAGCATCAGTGATTATTTTGTTTTACGATTATTCTATCGCAACAGGACCGATTAACAAAAGCTATAAATATTTTTCTGTCTGTAATAAAGGACCAAGGATTACTTGACGAATGGCACAAAAATGTACCTACTATTTTATATCTTAAAGCTATTCTTCCATTTGAAGTTTCTTCGCCATTACAGAACTTCCCTGACTTTTAACTTGATTGAAAAAATGAGCACCATGTTTGAATTTTGACGAATACGTACGTTCAAAAACAGATATATAAAATTTGCAGTGTAGCAAACATTTGTCATATTGCCTCAAGTGTTGCTTTCAAGCATTGCAAACGACTGAATTATTACTTAAAAAAGCATCTTGCGCAATATTTGCTTGAAAAGTAATAAGTAATCCTAGTAATCCATATGAATTGTCAAATCGTCGTGGAAGAGAGTATATAGGGTGTTCCTTAATGATATACGAATATTTAAGGGTGTGAATCTACATGAAAAATTAATGTTAGTTTGCTATATAAACTATGGTCCAAAAATGCATACAAAAACTCGGATATTTCAACGAGTGCGCAATTCCATGAAGAGGGCGGAAGCATGCATACTAAGTGAAGGGAACCATTTTCAACAATTTTTGTAATCATTTCATTGGTTTTAATGTTATGTTTATGTTGTCAGTTGTTGTTGTTCATTACACCTAATGTGTTTAACTTTTCCAATTAAATTAATAATAATTTTGCAAGTTAGACAATAGAACGGTTTTTATTTTTTTAGTCAAAAATGGCGCATCGAAAGAAAACAATTCAAGAAAGATCATTTGTTTTGAATTTAACGGGTAATTCAAAACTAATTTTTATTTGGCAAAAACTATTGGCGTACTATTTCTTTATTAAAAAATATCGAAGTCAATACCCGTACGCACGCCACTGTTTAAGCTAAAAATTATTTTGCATTGAAAATATGCAACTTTATTAACTTTCACTACGTACTAAATATCTGTGAAATATCTAAAGCCGTTCTGAAAATAATAATTAATTTCCATTTTTTTCATAAAACTTCAACACCCGGTAAGGAAACATTGTTGGATCATAGTTTATAGAGCAAACTAACATTAATTTTTCATGTAGATTCACACCATCACACCCTTAAATATTCGCATATAATTAAGGAACACCCTGTATAAATTAAATGCAAATAGAAATAAAAATATTAAGCATATGAGTAGTTATATAATATGTTGATATGATTTGTGGAACGTCCAGCAAACATTTTTTTGAAGGTGGCCCCTTTTCAATTTGTGCTGGGTACGTCTTTGGTGTGGTTCGTATTAATTTGTTAGTGATAGATTACGTGTAACTGGTAGCCAGCAGTGGCTACCACAGGATCAGTGCTGCCATTTATACAGGGTGTTTCAGAACTGTGGGATCAAACTTGTAGGAGTTATTCAGTGTAACAGTAGAAAATAGTTGAGTATAGAGACCCATATCCGGAGCTTGTGTGATGTTATCTTTAAAAACGATAACAGAGATTGTTCTTTGTAGCTGCATTCCATATCGTCTTAGTCGTGCTATCGCATTTGTGAAGTTTGCAAGAATTTAACAAAAATTAGTTGTTGCTAATGGAAAACTACCAATCAAGAATTGGCAGATATGCATTTGGCATACGGAGCAACAAGCTGCAATGCACGAGCAGCAGCGCGGTTGTATCAAGAACGTTATCCCGAACGACAGTATCCGGGATACAAAAAGTTTATTGCTATTCATCGGGGGCTCTCCTAGATAGGCATGTTTAAAACCAACATGCATGATACTGGTGTTGCTCGAACCGTAAGAACGGTCAAATTTGAAGAAGAGGTCCTTCAGCGAGTTGCCGACGAACCGTCAAGTAGCACACGTCTGGCGGCTGCTACACTACCAACAACTTTATCCTTACCGCTTCCAGAAAATTGAAGGATGGACTGCAGCCGATTATCATCCTATAGTTCAATTTTGTCAATGGCTTGTTCATCAAATCGCTGCACAACCAAATTTTTACGCTATATTTTATGGACCGATGAAGCCTCTTTCACAAGAGACGGTATTTTTAATAGTAGGTATAACCACGTTTGGGTCAAAGAAAATCCCCATGCAATTTTTCCTAGAAAACATCAGCAACGTTGGTCTGTCAACTTAAGGGCAGGCATTGTTGATGATTATTTGATTGGGCCATACCTTCTAGCGGAAAGGTTAACAAGACCTTTTTACCGGCGTTTCTTGGAGGAAGTTCTTCCAGAACTTCTTGAAAATGTTCCATTGACATCGACATCAAATCTGTTTTCAGCATGATGAAGCGCCGACTCACTTTGCTGTACAAGTACGTGAGTATTTGACTCAGTGCTTTGGGCACCGTTGGATCGCCAGAGGTGAAGCAGTTTCTTGGCCTCCTAGGTTACCCGATTTAACGACGCTAGATTTTTTCCGGTGGGGACATGTAAAGTCTTTGGTTTACGAAACTTCAGTGGAAACAGAGCAAGACTTAATTGGACGAATTACATCAGCCTTTGAAATCATTCAAAACGAGTATCAAATTTTTAGTCGAGACATTTTGAACAATTGTTGTGATGAAATCATGTACAAAAGGCAAAAACTAAATGCATTAAATCCTGTTTAGGCAGTTCATCGACTTTCTAAATTTTAACGCGTCTTAGGGCCGTAGTGACACTTTTTCGGATATGGGTCCCTATACTCAAATGTTTTCTACTGTTAAACTGCTTATAAACATGAGTTCCGCAACGTTCGTCAGTAACGCTGATGCAACATAGATAGTACTTCTGCCTTGCTCTACGTGACTACATCTAGTACGAATACCTACCTGAATATTCTTTCCAAAGGAAAAAATGTACACTGAAGTATTTTTTTTTTTATTTTGGTAGGAAATTGTAGGTAAATTAGCCAACTGTTTGCACTAAAACTATACAAATTTGAATTTGTTGGTACCTTCTAATTGTAGCTCTTACATTTACTGCAACAGATCTGGACTCATATACTTACCTACTGCCACAACGATAGTGGCTGCAAATAATAGCACTTTTTGCAACTTCATTCCTCTCACAGCCACCCTATTGAAACAAACTGTATAGTAAATAATTTGCCATGTGGGTACACAACTTACCTAATCGGTTAACATGTCATCAAATATTTATGGGGTATTCAACATTATTTCTATTAACGAACTAATAGCACTGGTTTCTAGAATAATGCACCATTGTTCTGATTGATGATCAGCTCTACCGAAAACGTTATTTAGGGGTACTGTTGAAGAGAACTCCTAGTATATAACTTTATAACCAATTTAACGGCAAAAACTCTGAAGCTACCAATTTTGAAAGCTTGCTAAAAAGTCTAGGAAGGGTAGTGCAGCCACTGAGATCTCGTGTGCACTTACACATGATCTAAATTTGAATGCTGGGAATTCTTATACACTATGAGAGTGTAGGATGTCAAGTAGGTTGACTCTATACTTCCCACACTTTCGAAACAACTTATAATAAAATTTTCCATGTAGTGAAATGTCACAAAAGCATAGGTTTTGTCAAAAACAGTCGTGCACTATTTGGGCAATTCATGAAAAAAGTTTTCTCGGATTGCAGCAATAAGAATGTGTTCTGTACTCGGTATCCTTATTTCTTTGGAGTATGGTGTAATACTCTTTGTTAATAATGCTTAAAGACTGATTATAATAGCTCTTGGTACGTAGTTATACAGGGTTATCCAAATTAAGTGTCCACCATTAGTAACTTTGTTATTAGTGAAAATACAAAGTTGTTTGAATTAGCAAACTAGTAGCATTTTTAACGCTGGTAAAAATGAGAAATAAAAAAAAACAATTGAGAGTCGTTATTTTGATTTTTTTCAGTAAAATAACATTTTTTTAAATGGAAACCCCTGTATATTATATTTTTTTCTGTTAAAGCATCAAATTTTAAACAAAAAAGCTTACAATAACTTTTCTCCTAGGTTACAAATTGTTGAAGTTATGGCCTCCAATCTGAAACAATTAAATTGTATCGACAAACTTTATTTTCAACATCAACTTATAATCTTACAAAATACAATAACAATTTTTTTTAAAGAAGATGCTCGAAAACACCACCTTGTTCTTCAATACATTTTTGGGCACGTTTTTCAACTGCTCGAACTGTCTTAAGTATGGTCCTACCATCTATCTGGGTTATCTTTTCCCTAACTGCAGTCTTTAACGCGTCAAGGTTATCGTACCTTCGCTTGTAAATTTGGTTCTTTAAGTAACCCCACAAGAAGTAATCAAGTGGGTTTAGATCTGGTGATCTGGGAGGCCACTGTATTGGGCCATTTGTTCCTATCCACTGATCATTAAAAGTAGTACTTAGAAAATGATAAGTACCTCTGGAGTTGTGGGTAGGTGCGCCATCTTGCTGAAAATGCAGATGATGTCTACTTATAAGATCCAATTCGTCTAAGAAATTAGTCAGAATTTCTGACATAAATTCCACATATCTTTCACCAGTTAGGGTTCCCTCATAAAAGAACGGGCCAACAATTTTTGAACCAATTATACCGCACCAAACGTTGAAACTGAAACGGACTTGTGGGCCTCTTGGATGTACTAACAAAAGATTTTCTCTTGACCAATAATGGTGGTTTTTTCTATTAAACATTCCAGAATTTGAAAAATTTGATTCATCTGTCCATAAAAGGTAACGAAAGTTATTTACATTTTGGCGACAGAAGCTAAGATACCAATGGCAAAAAACAAGTCTTCTCTCTGGATCCCCTGCCAAAAGCGTTTGAACTGGTCGGTACTTATACGGAATAAATTTATATTTTTTTAAAATCCTTTGAACAGTACCATAACTGAAATTAGAGTCCTTGAGAATATCTGCTATTGAATTCTCACGATAAGCCAATAACTGCAATTTCCGTGGCCTCGCTTATTATGAATTCTTTTTTTGCCCTTGTTTTAACAAAAACATTTTCGTTGCCCCTAAATTTTCGATAAAGTCTCAGAAAATATCGTTCATACGGTTGAATGCGAGCGGGATATAATTCTCTTGCTCTCAAGGAGGATTTTCTGCACACTAAATAGCATTCTAACATATCACACTTTTCTTCATGGGAGAACATTTTTCTTTAAATTAATGACACAATAAAGCTTATAAACAAGTATTTACACTAATGTTTGACATTATTTGATTTTATCATTGTTTTCCAAAGCCTTCTAGTTACGAGTATGTCCAGTTTAACAATTTGTCGCTTATCTTAATGCTGTCAAATCGCGAACGCCATGTTGTTTTCATAGCCGTCTTAATATTATAATACTGCAAATAATTAAAAATATTTATCGTTATTTTGACTTTATTTTTGACTTTAGCGGAAAAGTCATTATGAACTTTTTTGTTTAAAATTTGATGCTTTAACAGAAAAAAATATAATATACAGGGGTTTCCATTTAAAAAAATGTTATTTTACTGAAAAAAATCAAAATAACGACTCTCAATTGTTTTTTTTTATTTCTCATTTTTACCAGCGTTAAAAATGCTGCTAGTTTGCTAATTTAAACAACTTTGTATTTTTACTAATAACAAAGTTACCAATGGTGGACACTTAATTTGGATAACCCTGTATACTAAATACTAGGGGGTACCCAAAAAAGTCAGAATTATTTTTTAAAAGCTATTTATTTTCAACTTTTTCACAAAGGAACCTTATCTCCTTCAAAATGCTGTTCACTACAACTAATACACTTATACCACCGGTGCTTCCACTGTTCGAAACATTTTTTGAAGTATGTATTCCTTAGAAATGACTGACAGCTCCTCCATCGTTTTTTTCTTGACCTCTTCAATGTCGTCAAAGCGGCGTCCTTTAATGCTTCTTTTCATCCGTGGAAATAAGAAAAAGTCGCATGGAGCCAGGTCATGCCATTTTTAGCCCGAAACTAACGAACAGAGAGGGCTGTGTGCGCAGGTGCATTATTGTGGTGGAAGAACCAGTCTCCTGACTGCCACAAATCGCGTCTTTTTTGCCGAACACTGTTTCGCAATCGTCTTAAAACCTCCAAATAAAAGGTTTGATTGATAGTGTGACCTGTAGATACAAACTCGGAATAAACTACGCCTTTGACATCAAAAATAACAAATCAGCATTGTCTTGATGTTTGATTTGACTTGACCTCATTTTTTTGGACGGGGTGACGATGGCGTCTTCCATTGACTTGACTGTTGCTACGTTTCTGGGTCATAACCATAGCACCAAGTCTCATCACCAGTGATGATCTTTGACAGAAAATTTGGATCAGATTCAAGCTGTTGTTTCAAAGCACAAAATGTTTCAACTCGGTGTTCTTTTTGATTGTCAGTCAGAGCCCGAGGAACAAACTTGGCAGCAACCCTTTTCCTTCCCAAGTCTTCTGTTAAAATTCGCTGAACCCAACTCCGGCACAACCCACTACTTACGGATAGTTGATCGATTGTCAGTCGACGGTCTGCAAGCACAAGCTCTCGAATTTTTTCAATATTTTCGTCGATTCGGGCAGATGATGGTCGTCCAGAGCGAGGTAAGTCAACAACCGACATGTCGCCATTTTGAAATCGAGGAAACCACTCGTACAGCTGGTTTTTTCCCATAGCATCACATTAAAACAGTTTCAGCAGCATTTTTACCAATTAGAAAGTAACATTTCAGTTATAGACGGGCCAAGGATTTGTAAACAGACAGACATACAAAAATGAGTGACATGGTTTCATGATAAACATGCCTTATAATAACCAAAAAGCCTATAATCTCATTTTCAAAATTTTTTGCGTTCAGTTGGTCTGAGCCAGTACGGCCAGTCCCGCTATAAATTGACACCCCAACCAACCGTTTTACATGACCTTCTAGAAGACAACGTTGTATTTGAAATCTATAGGGTCTAATATAAGGATTTTCAGGTAATATTTTTGTGTAAACAGCGTATCCCAGAAGAGTGCTATCGAATAAAGTTGTACTTTTTAAATGCATATTTTTAGTGAAAATGATGTCATTTTTTCTGATTCCAAATATATATGGATTGTTAAATTTAATTTTATGTCAAAAACATGAAGTTTGTGTATCATTTAATTATATGATTTCAGACCTATACTAGATTGCATATGCGGCTAGATGCAAATTATAGATGATTCGAACTCTGATAATGCACATGAGTAAGTGACACAAACTTTGAGTTTTTGGCGAAACCAATAAAAATAAATATATGATACACCATATACATTTTGAAAAAAGGACTATCATATTCCCTGAAAATATACAGGATATTTCTTTAAAAAATACTTTATTCGACAGCATTTTTCTGAGACTTCATATAAAACTTTTTATTCTGAAAGATCCTAGAAAAGGATATAGGGGGTTAATTTACAGTGGGTCAGCGCGTACATTTACAGATGTCCAAGCTATTTTAATTTGATAAAGTTTCTAGCAAATCATCGACTTTCTCCTTGATGTAGAACAGTACACCGCAGTCCGGCAAACATGGCGAGGCGCGATATAGACGGAGAACTGATTAACGTGGAAAATGCACATTCCGTTTTGCAGATCTCAGTTGCGGCGCGCCAACTGAACTGATCTCTTACTTTCCTTTTAATTCGATCCTTTATGTGCATATCTGTTGTACACGCATGTAACCGTTGTGAATTAGTCAAGATGGCCAGTGCTCAAGATATCGACACCCTCATGGGGCACTTAGGTAACTCAAACATCCAGTCTTGCCTAACAATATGTGCAATCGCAGATTAGTTCTACAAATCGATACAGGCATCCAATAACATTGTAACAGACATTTTAACAATTTTCGCTGTTAACGCGATTTGGATAGATTGAATTCGATATTTTCTGCCCATTTTTGAAAAGTTACAACTTTTTAGCACAGATATGAAAAAATAATAATGTCACTGTAACTGCGTACATCCGAAAAATGACGGTCATGTCATTTTGAATATCGTTAATGTTGCACTAAATCTTAATCCTAGCAATGTTGTTACGCGTAGATTTCAGTGCGCCAGAAAGCTGGCAAAGGTACGAAACGGGGTACGACGGTTTTAACTGAAACGTCACATGAAGATAGGTTTACTCTTGCCTAGAATTAACTTTTGCTGTCAGGAAAAAGAAATAAACCTATAGAAGAATACCTTATGTTTCTGGCAGACAAGATCCCAGAGATATACAACCCTTTGTATGACTTGTGAATAGAATCGTTATTTTATTTATTTATATTATATATACACATACTTGAGGATCTCATATTTTTGTTACTTTATTGTAGGTATTTATTATATTTTTATCTAAAGATAGATTTGGATTCCTGCAATGTGCAACAGAGATTGCTTCTTTTTTATAAACAAACAGTTTTTAGTTTACAATTTTCTTCCAGGTAAAATGTATTTATAACCGTAATTGTATTTGCACTTACAATGTAGAAAAAGTGCTCATGTACCAAGGAAGAACATTATACCGTCTTACCATGATTCTACATCAGTAAAAACCAAAGTTTGTTCATATTGTAATTACCTATTTTTGTCGTTTTCTCTGTTTTTTCTTTACGCATTGTATTCTTTCATGGGTAGCCTTTCCAGTGCCATACATACTGTAAACTGTAAGACACAATACTATATTAAATCATTTATGAGCTGATGATCGCTTTGCGGGAAGTGCAGATACAACCTACTTGGCGCCATTTCTTATATAGCCAACGGCTGACGGCTGGAAAGCACCACTGTGGTTGATTGAAAAGTCTTATTCTTCAAGCTCTATATGAGAGTGGAACTGTGATAATTACGGACTGTATGCCCAAATGTGAAATTGAAAATGTACCACACTCAATAAATAGTCATGTCAGAGATAAAGCAGAATATGGTGCCACGTGACATCTTACTTTATTCTGATGCCATCTTGAGTAGATCAGTGCAATTATTATGTTTTCTTAGAAGGTTGAAGAGCTAAAAAACTGGGCCAAAATTTCGTCAGACAAAATACGAATACTGCGGCATTTTATCAGTGTACATTTGCACAACAAGGTACACGTATTTTACATACAGTGGTTATTTTGATTTGGCAGCACATGACCTGATAGGCTCATCTGAAATACCTACAAAGACATAGTAAAATCTATAAGAATGTGCTCAAAATAAATTCATGAGCTTAATAGTTCTGACAGTTATTTCCCATAGCCTTAACTACAAAAAATACTGTTTCTATATCAGTATTTCCATGGATTGGATCACAAATGTGATGAAATTGTGCCTGGACTAAAATTATACATGTTATGTAACAAATGTACTTTCATGTTTTGGTTACGAAACCACCACATCGACTGCAATTTATTGCATTAGCCTTTATTTTTAGTATAATTAGATTTATGCCACGCCAGGATACATCCTCTCGTCGCTAAAATTGTGTTTATCAGCTAGATGTGTTGCTGCGAAATCATAGAAGTCACCTGAATAATCATTTACCACTTGCCGTATATCATAGAATATGTCTAACATCTAGGATATATCAATATATATTTAATTAAAAGCTCTGCCAGGACCGGATTAACCCTGTTAGATCCCCTAGGCAATGAAATTCTTTTATCCTTTTTTACTTTTTGAGAAATATTTTTTCTATCACAATGCAATTATGTTAATAATAATAATAAATTATAATAAATACAAGTGAAATGAAATTATGCGTTTCTTACTTCCCACAAGTGATGGCGGAGGAAGTATTGTACTCAAGAAAAATTTCGAAAATGAGATACTACGTATGTTTCTTGGATGTTGTATTTTATGTATATTCCGATAAATTTTGGGACCTCTATAACAGAAAAAAGTCCGAAAACGATTAAATCATTTTTTGACGTTTCAGAAGATTTTTTGATGTTACATTATTAATACATATTCAACCTCGGTAAGTCTGCGTACGCATTAGGCAAATTTCACATACCATAGATTTTCCCGAACATTTGCCCTTAAAAAATATTTTCAGCGGCCATCGGTCCCATATGCCGTCCGTCACGAGGTTATTCATAAATATTACATCTTTTGTACTCGATCCTACCACGCAAGCCGCGCAGCAGCATACGAGGTGGACGCGATACGAGGGATGTCTTTTAAGTTTTGCATATGGAAATAAAACAACACGGTAGGTAGTTTTAGATAACTTTATTGTTTTTCGAAGTATTCTCCATGAAGATTAATACACATCTGCATGCGCTCGAACCAATTTTCGAAGCACTTATTCCACTCGTTTGCTGGCAGATCCAAAATGGCATTTTTGAATGCGTCAACTGCTTCTTCTGGTGACTGGAACCCTTGACCATGCAGTCTGTTTTTAATTTTCGGGAAAGTAAAGAAATCGTTAGGACTTAGAACGGAACTATATGGAGGATGGTCCAATAATTCCACGTTTTCTTCCGTTAAATACTGCCTCGTTTTTTGGGCTGTGTGCGAGCTTGCATTGTCTTGGTGGAGGATGATTCTTCTTTCGGGGTTGATTTTTTGAAGCTCGGTGATGACTTTTGGCAAACAAATGGTGGTATACCAATCCGCAGTAACAATTCTTTGCTCATTAAGAGGAATTGTTGCAATATGACTCGCTTTTGACACAAATGTCGCTACCATCTTTTTCGAAACACTTCGAGAACGTATGACTTTTGTTGGCTTTTCTTCACCTTGGAACATTGAAACAACCGACTGTCGTTTATTTTCTGGTTCATAACAGTAAATCCACAATTCATCACCACTAATTTTCTTTTTTCTTTCCGAAATTGAAACGGTCAAGCGTTTTTTGACACCAATTAACCGCTGCTTTCTGCTCTTCAGTCAACAGGTGGGGTATCCAACGAGAAACTAATTTTCTTACTCATGATTCATGTAAAATTTTTTGAATTGAGGTCTTTGAAATCTTCAAGGACGCCTTAATCTCGCGATATGTCACATGTCTATCTTCAATGATGAGTTTGCGCACAGCATCGACGTTTTCGTGGGTGACTGCCGTTTTTGGTGCACCCACCCTGGGATCGTCGCTAAGACTCACCCGTCCACGTTTGAATACCAACGGGAAATTGTCGACTGATGTGGCGCTTCGTTGCCGAAAACAGACAGTAACTCAGCAAGGCATTCTTGTTGCGATAATTGTCTATGAAAGTTGTAATAAATTATGGCGGTTGAGTTCCATTTTTCTAATGACTTGGTGACACTTAAAACTTCACTGTAGTGAGAACACTGCACTTATTGTGGTGAAACTTTGAATTTAAGTTTACTAAAGAGTGAGGTTAAGATATGAGCGTTATATTTTGAGTGTAATTCAGTGATGGCCTTTGATTTTGTGATGCAATATTTTATAGTATATAAATATTTATCAAGAGCTATTAGAATCAGATATCAAACATGGTTGACAAGCAGTTTTACGCCAGAGCCCCAAAGAAATTGTGTACAGATACGCTCAGTACTGCAATCTGAGAAATTGTTTTTCATAAGAAGCCCAAATAGTGCATTACTTGTTCTGACAAAACCTATGTCTTTTTGATGTCATTACACTACATAGAAAATTGCACTAGAAGTTGCTTTGAAGGCGTGGAAAGTATAGAGTCAATCTACCTGACACCATCTTTTTAATGGCGGCACCCGCTCACAACGTCTATACATCTATGAATTGTGCATTTCTTAGCTCTTCAAAATGTTTTTTTGTATGATAGAAATGTATTCTATTGATACAAATATATATTATTATTAAACTACTATTAGTTTTGGGATTGGCTTATCAGTAATATGCGTTGATATTAATAGTACAATATCAGTTTACTTTTTCCTCATAAAAGTCAATTTATACTTGTCTAATCCATTTCTAGGTGATTTTGGAATCTACCAAGCGCTGCAGTTCACTTTGCACATTCTGTCAGCCGCCACAGCAGGGCTAAACATGCTTACCTTAGTCACAGTAGCTGCTGTACCTGAATATAGGTACGTATGTTCTTGTCATACAGCTGTGTGTAGTTTGTATAATTTTGACTATTGTACTATGTATCCAGCTTTCACCATGTTACTGGGTGTTTCCCTCATCCTTAACGTAAATAACATTTAGCAATATCCTCACATACTACTCTCCTGATGATGATGGCAAAGACCATTGAAAGCTAGAGAGATTAAAAAAAGTATAAAGAGTCCTCCTTGCTTAAATTTTGTCGAAGTACCCAACAAAAGGCAGAAACTAATTTTTCACCTAACTGGTCTAGACGACAATGACCACGCATAATATGGTTATATTGGTTTGTAGAAGGTTTCAATCCTATTCAAATAGAATAAAATATAAGCTACCATATTGAATGGTAGACTGATGGTAGACAAGAGAAACAAACACAAAAATCATTATCACAGTGCTGATTCCCTATAAACTTCTATGTATAACATAAAGCCCTAGTGCCAACATCTCACATATGCCACTGGCGGGGAAGTATTGTAATTGTGGAAAACATCGGATTGCGATTTGTTTTTTGGATATTATAAAAGCTGCTACACACAGTGCCGGCGGCAATGCCGGCGGGTTTATGCCGAGCGGCTATGCCGCCGGCAATACAAGCCGCCAAGCATCATTCCGGTTGTGACAGTCACATAGAAAGCTAGTGAAGTGCTGCATTTCTGGGATTCCATAATATATCATTTTCATGAAATTTTTCAATTAAGAGCAGCACAGCTTCGTCGTCCCAATTAAACGACATTTTGTTTAAACACACACACCGCACAACACTACCGCTCGAATGCCAGGAACGAAGTGACGCCGGCACACCACGGCGGCTCCTTTGCGCGGCAAGGCCGGCGGCTTTGTATGCCGCCGGGTGTACGGCGGCTTGCTCGGCGGCCCTGCCGCCGGCACTGTGTGTAGCAGCCTTAAGATATTTACATCACGAATAACTACGTCACTCATTTTCGTCGGTTTTTCGCTAATCCTAGGCTCCTATATATCTTGGATAGTCAGCCACCTCAGACTATTGTAAAAGGTGGTGATGCGAACCAGCGGAATTTCATTTAAGCCAACGTTCCCCCAGAAGAGATTCTCGGATTGATGTGACAGCTGGGCAGTCCCAAAGCAAGTGCTTTTTTGTCTCATTCAGTCTCATGTTAAAGAGATGTCTCCGTAGCTGAAGTGTCCAGTTGCAAATAGAAGTTGTTGTCTAGACATACACAGGTAGTTTCTTGTTTTTCCTCATTAGTATATCTGAGGAATTCATTAGCGAATGAGCAGCTCGATGTATCATACGACACGTTCTTGAAGCTTCTATGGGTCCTACGCACTTTCAGCATAGTTGCCAAGGGTAGAATACAGAGGGCACTGGGCACACAGCTTCTGGTTTCGGCAGTCTTTTGCCAGTCACTTATAATATTACACTTGAACTGTGAATTAGTCTTCTTCTAGGCAACAATTAGCTTATTATTGGTGGAGACATTCACAAGCTCCAAGTGTCAGTCTTGTGCTGTACTCGTTGTAAGCTTACCGCACTTACGTCACTATTGCTTGTCCGCGCAGATCATGATATTTTTGCCTGTGACATTTCTGTAGGCAATTTTCTTTGCAGTTGCTCTTAGGCCACTTGCAGAGTAGAGTATACTTCGCAGCCAGTTCAATCATTTTCCTTAGATCCATCAGTGAAAATGTTAATAATACCTTCTTCAATCTGGTTTTCAGAAGCTGTCCTAATGACTAATTAAGTCGTGTAGGCATGCTATGATAAAGAGATGTCTAGCTTGTTGGACTATTGCGCGAGGTATAGATTTTGCAAATACATATAGCACATTCATAGAAACTTGATGGAAATTATAAATTTAACCCTAGAATTATTTGTGAACTCGATCAAGTGAAGTATTAATATCTAATATAAATATGAAACCAAACAACATCACATAACCTTGACTGTAAAGCAAGGTTTGGTTTAGAAATAAAAAACCCTACCGGCCATGATCTAGATTTCTGGCTTGTACCAAACGTTAACTGATGAATGATAGTATATTATATATCTTGGTGGAGAAGTACGCCATTGACCGAGTACTCTTATATTCTGCGGCGCATATCTCACATGGATACACACACACATACATTGAATTATTTACTTCTCATTATAGAGATGCGATAAATGAGAATTTCTTAGGATAGTAGTGGAAGTGAAAACATATTTTGTGACACACAAAGGAACAAAAGTGCTAAGGTTTTTCGTCGTTTGTGACATAGTGTTTAATAATAAATAATGGTTAATGTACTCATTTTTTGTCAAGTTTCCTGATTTTTCGTGCTGCACGACGCCGGCTTTCTTCATATCTTATACCTGTTTTATATCAGCAATTGCTTCACGAATTTATTCAGATGGATTTCTTCAATGTCATGATTGTTTTGCGGTGTTTACATCGATGGACAAATTCATGGATTATCTGGTTGTAGCCAGTGCTGCCGACCATACAACAAATTCTTGTTAGGAAGATTTTGAGTCTTTATTTGTATTGTGGTTTTGATTTTGAGACAAACTCATAAACAAAAACCATATTGTTGAATATTGTAGTTCTACCAAAGCTCTATGTTTGAAAAGCTTTTGAATATAATGGAAACGAAAAAAAGGTTAGTACCGTGGAACTTGACGTCCAGCTTGGCAAAAAATAGAACAAGTTCTAATTCCGTGAAGAAATCCACGAAGAACTTTACGGATTTATTTGATGTCAAATTCCTGGTATACACTTTTAAATTTGGCCATGTATGCAATTCACGAAGAAATCCATGGATTTATTGTCAATATAAAACAGGGATTATAATGTAAGCCTCATTGCACTTCTAGGTGCAAAATCCCGAATTACGATACGAATAAAACGGACATGCATTTAAATGAAACTACCTTGGACATGTACATCCCCAGGCTTCCATCAGGAAAGATTGACAGCTGTTCTTTGATAAATACTACCACGAATGCTATCTACAAGTGTAACTCATGGGTCTTCGACGATACATACTACGGGACCACCAGGTACAGTATACAGGTATGGGCTAAAGCTTTTGACAATCTTATATTGAATTCGTTTGCAGTACCAACGAATGAACATTATGTAGACTATAGGATTCAGGGTGTATCAACTACTCTGCTATAACCGGTTTTATACAGTATTCAAGCATGCCATAAGGTTGTTTACACTTCCAAATAAACAGGACAATGGAAATAAGACTGCGCGAAGCGCCATCTACCACCAGAATCGACCATTGCGAAACAGAGAGACAACAGCGTATTCTACCGGTTGGGACTGTAAAGATGTCAGTCGGCGAATTGTAGTTCCAGTCACCACATGACTTAGCTGGCGACGATTCTAGCTGTGTAGTAGATGTAGTATACATATTTCATTTTCGTGTTCTTCCCTATCAGAAATTTACGTTAGACCAATGATTTACTCACACTTTTATTCAGGCTAAATTATATTGACCATCAGATACAACTACTAAACTCATATGAATATGAAGGGAACATTTTAGTTAAGCTAGGTTCCTTTAGACGAGAAGAATAATTTCAAGAATCATTACACCTTTAGAGTTTCTGCTAATTAAGGATAACTGAACTTTGGTATTTGATGCTTAAGTAAAAATATTTATAATTACTGTTGGATTACCAAATATAAAGTAATAAAATGTGCACTTCTTGTAATCGTCGATAGCAGTATTCTTTCATTTTTACTTTCATCGACACTGGCGAGGAAGTATTGTAATCGGGAAAAATTTCGAAAAGGTGCCTTGAATGTTATATGACATGTAGGTACATTACCAAAAACCATTGTCATTTTGGTCAGTCTGTCCACTAATTCTTGACCCGTCTATAACTTGAAAAGTACTGCTCGAATTTTTACGGAATTCTTACATATGCAACGAAGAAATAGCTTTGTCGATTTGGAAAGCTCCCGTGACAGCAGAGCTAGGGACAAAAAAAAGAAAATAAAAATCGCCCAAACTTCTTTTTCTTAACGTTTCTGATGCTCTCTAAAATTTGTGGAGGAGTTGATAATTGGAGGTTGGGGTTTTTGGAGGTGGGGGAGTGTATTTTTAAATTTTTAGGTGGTTGTATATTTATAAGCTTCTATATGGGATATTTTTATTAAATTTAGTACTTTAAGCTCATTCTTTTTATCTCGAATGCATTTGAGACTGATTACCTTTTCAGGGCAGTCGAATGGAACCTGGTATGTGACCGACGATGGATGGGAGCCGTATCCCAATCTGCATATATGTTCGGTGTTTTCACAGGAGCGATATGGCTGGGAAACCTTGCTGACAAGATTGGAAGAAAACCGGTGTTTTGCTGGTCCGCTGTATTCCAAGTAGTATTTGGGGTAGGGGTAGCATTCACACCGGAGTATATATCGTTCCTAGTTATGAGATACCTTTATGGCATTTTTGGATCGGCAGGAAGCTATATCCCAGGTAATCATTTCAGGTTCAAACAGTTAAAACAGTAAAAAGTCGTTGAAATACATTTAGAAATATTCATAATTTTTGGCATGAAAAAAGATAAAAAATAGTTTTATCCCAGTGAGTGTGAAAAGGTGTGGTAACATTTTTGGAACGTTCGTTCTAGATCCTAAAAGAGTTATAGTAACGAACCATGATCTCAGTACATACTGTTCACACATCCCTTTAAAGGATACTCTCCTGACGAACGATCTAGGAATATGCGACTTGGGAACATTAGGAATGGAAATATTTATAGGATATACAAATTTGGTCACATGCTAAGAATATTCATTACAAAATCTTCACGTGACAGTAGCCATACTACTTTGAACAAAACAAATTGCCCAAAGGTGTTGCTGGAAAGTACGGAGTAGCATCAACGTCACCTTTGACCCTTGGGCATTTGGGCTATTTAAATGCCAGTAAAATGTTTTGCCAGCAGCCAGATTTCTCGTGGGATGTACTTAACTAAATCTTTAATTATAAGATATGAATCATGGTCAATATGCAGATAAAGGGTCACACATCCAGAGAAGCAGCCAGCCTTCAGTGTAAGCCTGGATTGTGAGAGGGACATAAAATAACTTTCTTATATTTACAGGTTTTGTTTTGACAATGGAATTGATTGGTCCCAGTAAACGATCTATCTGTGGAGTTGCGTTTCAAGCAGCATTTGCTACCGGCATCATGCTTGTAGCAGGTTGGGGAGCAATAATCAAAGACAGGCAGTTATTGCAAATTGTGTATGGGTGTCACGCTCTTCTGCTTTGTGCACATTTTTGGATTATGGACGAGTCACCACGGTAAGAAAGCGAGCAGTCATGCATTCCCTGTAGGAAGCCTCGGTAGCTCGGTGGTTAGCGCGTCGAGCTAGCAACCCGCAGGCTTATCACGTAAAAAAGACCAGTAAATGTCAACTTGTTGACTAGGTAAGCTAGTGTGCAAATAGTTTATCTGCGCTTGCTACAAGTAAGCATGAAGTGAACGACAGCTAGTTACAAGTTGACGTCTTGTTGGAAAACCTACATAATGTCATAAAAAACCTGCATAATGTCAAAAAACACAGCTCAAACGTCAGTAAAATATCCATCAGGGGCATACGTGGTTCAATGTTATCCATAGTGAGATAGTATAATAGTTATTACTTTACCTCTGTGCTATGTTTTACATTTTTTTTTGTTCTGCAATCGACTTTTAATCTTTGTAGTACAATTTCATAACATTTTGTACCAACTGTTTACATGTAGGTATAGTTTGAAAATCTAATCTTAACAGAGATGCGCTGGCGCAGACCAAGTGAGCTTCGCGAAGCTGGTAGAATGATCAAAAAAGTAGGCAATATCTCTAGGTCGAAAAGTATGTCTGAAAAATAATGCTAAAGGGTTTTAATCAATAGGCTTTAAAGAGTTCTGCAGCCCTTTCCGAAATAAAAGGATATGATTTTGAAATCGCGATAAATCTCCGGAGTTCATGGAGATATAAATTGCCTCATTTCATGCATCTTTGTTAGACTAGTATTCCTCTTGAATAAAAATTGATTAGAAACACTGAACCGGTACAAAAGGCGCATTTATCATATTTTAAGAGTATCATGTTCTATCTTAAAAAAAATAACAACAGATTGGTGATAGAATACTGTTTTCAAATCTTATTCAAATCTTGTTGGAGCTACGTTTATTGGGCCTCTTTGCGTTGTGCGGCTAAGACTATATTTTCCGCTACAAATGTTGCTACTATTTTTTAACCACTATGTGAGTGTTTATCAATAAATAGAAAAAATATATCATTCTTTTTTTTTTTGGCTGTTTACAGTTGGCTTTGGGCAAACGGTCGTAAGTCTGAAGCTGTCTCAATCTTGAACCGCGCCCTGAAGATGAACAAAAGCACAGTAACCATTACTCTGGACGACATCAACAAAACTACTGAAGGCAAAAAGACCAGCGATGACCAAGCAGGAATGCTGAATCTTTTCAAAACACCGAATCTCAGAAAGAAAACTTTCAATATCATGCTGTGTTGGTTCGCTAATTCGTTGGTCTACTACGGATTATCGCTCAGTACGGGAAGTATGACGGGAAACCCATTTTTTGTGTTATTTCTAATGGGGTTTGTCGAGCTGCCTTGCTATGTGGTGACTGTCTATCTTATGGATAAGTAAGTTAGAGGTAGTCATTTTCTTTCTATGCAGTCTGTGAATTAAGTGATGAGACTGATTTTTTATTTTTTTTTATTCACATATAATTACAATTTTATATTGTCACCCTCAAAATAACTTCCTTTTGAAGCCTCACAGTGCAGGAGACGGTTCTTCCACTCCTCATAGCAGTGCTGTACCTCCGACACTGGAATAACCTTCAGCTGGTCAGTTACTGCCGTTTGAATATTTTCGACTACTTCGAGAAGAGAAAAAGTCACAAAGGCTCAAGTCAGGCGAATAAGGAGGCTGAGGAGCTACAGGAATGTTTTCACTGACCAAAGACTCTTTTATTGACATTGCCGTGTGACAAGGACCATTATTGTGATGCAAAACACAGTTGTTCGTGCTCTTATGAACGACGGTATGAGTCAAATATAACTCTTCTCCGATCATTCTGACTATCAACCAACGATCTAAACGCTCAAGATCCCGGATTCGGCCGATATTTTCATATCAGTTCTTGAAGATGAAGGACTTTCGCTTCGTGGTTCATCTTCAATCGACTCTCTGTCTCTCTCTCTTCTGAAAATGCATTGAAACACCAAAAAACCTGAGCACTCGACAATACCCTATCTCCGTAGGCCTGCTGAAGTTTAGCAAGTTTTCGTTGCACTGTGCCCAAGTCTGAAGCAAAACCTTATAGCACACCGTCGCTTGAAATTGATGTCATTCATATTTAGAACACAATAGGTAAAACTTTTTCACAAAAAAAGATCGCTACAGACAACCAAATGACTCGAGCGAGTTCAAACTTATGATGAAGCTGGATCACATGTTCCCCTGTCTCTCCTCCAAGCTCGAAGCCTCCAGTCTTGTCAGATCGAACGCTACATTGCCATTTCCCGGATTATGCCGATATTTTGATCAGTTCTGATGAAGGACTTCCTCTTCGTGGTTTATCTTCAATCGACTCCCGGCGCCTCCACTCTTGCCAGATCGAAGGCTGCATTGCCAATCTCAACCCTTAATTTACATACCCCGTATGTTAATCCAGCTACAATCACTTCAATATGTCGTTCATCCGTCGTCCATCCATCCGTCCATCCGTCGTCTATCTGTCGTCCATATGTCGTCTATCCATCCGTTCATCCATTGAAGAGTGTAAGTTCTAAAGGGTCCAAGTGCCAAAAACAAATATTTTAATTATTCATGTGAAAAGGGTCCATGCCTAGTAATATTGCAAAGGTAGTAAATGCCAGTGATTCATTTAGGTGTTTATTTTCTGTCGAATAGATGGCGGTCCCTGTAAGTGCCAACATAAATTTGATTCAAAAAGGGTCTATGTGCCAAAGCTACGAAGCAGATTTGGTTTCGAGACAGTGTTGTTCTGTTGTGTTATTTCTGTGTTTTAACTGAAAATGGAACGGAAAAGAAGGGCAAAAGGTTCAGAAAGTGTGAAAAAGGAAGAAAAACGTCTAGGTGATAAAAAAACCGGAAAAAAGCCTAATAAGGCACATAGACCCTTTTCAGAATTGCATAATGAGGCACTTAGATCTTTTTACGATTTTCTGTTTTTAAAAAAAGTTTTAAAGTCGAAGTTAATACTTCTAAACCTCGTTTTCTCAGGAGTCTTATTAAAAATAATCTGATTTGTCTCAAAAAATATATTTAAAGCTAAAATATAGTTTACTTCTTAGTCAGATAGTTTTATTTGATTATCTGGGTTCCATGTTTCTGGCACTTAGACCCTTTAGAACTTACACTCTTCCATTGTCCATCCATCCATTCATTGTCCAATATAGTATCAGTCCACTAATGATTTACTTCTCAATCTTGGTATGAAATGTACTATTTTGCCGTGTTGCCTTTCCTATTAAGTAACTCAATAGGGTTAGTATAATAATTAAATTGGTTTATGATTCAATGTCTTATATTTTTACAGGCTTGGCAGAAGATCATTAACATCATTTGCTATGATAGTTGGCGGGATATGTTGCATTATAGCAGTAAGTCTACCAGAAGGATCACTTTCTACCGGTTTTGTCTTCGCGGGAAAATTCTTGATTGCCGGCTCTTTTGCGATTTTGTACAACTACTCTGCTGAGTTATTTCCAACTGTGATAAGAAATTCTGCTATGGGTAAGTACTATAGGATATGTGAAAAGTTTTTGAAGTCGCATACAGACGGCGATGCATCAGAAAACATTCGCACTTTATGCATAATCTGATTTAAAAGGTGCCCCTTTTTAACGAAATTTACGTCAAAAATGTTTTTTCTTTGAAGTTAATAATTTTCGAGATATAAACGATACAATATTTGAAAAAGTGCGAAATATGTCACCTTCGACTCCGAAAAACAATATGAAAAAAACGAAAATTTCAAAGTTGCCTTCTTTCCTAGATATTCTTCAGACACCTAATAACAAAATCCCAAAGCATCTTAGGACGTGTGCACATCAGCTTCAAAAGTAGAGATTTCGGGTTTATACCATTTCACGCTACCTATTCAGCTTTTTAGCGACTCCTTATTTGATTATTTTATTTAGTATCTTGGTTTGTATTTTGGCTAGTGTAAAACAACCGTGCCAACTTGTACCTCAGTATCTCCGAAGCACACAATAATAATAATAATAATAATAATGATAATAATAATAATAATAATAATTTATTAGTCCTATATGATCACAGATGTGATATAGGATAAGTCAGTCAGAGCGCTACAAAAGCTAATAACAAATCATGTTAGTGTGGACGCACACATATTCGTACCACATATGGCATATCCCAAATATGGATACAGATAAATCAAATAAGTGTATAGATAAAAATTATAAATATAAAACATATATGTATATATAAAAAAGCGAAATAAAGGACAACCCATTAAGTGACATTCAAACAACAATGATTAAAATCAAACAAGACATTCACACATTAAAAATTCCTCAATAGAGTGAAAAGCTTTTGCAGTAAAAACTGTTCTTTTAAAAGTGTTCAGTGGTTGTGATTTTAAATTGTTGGGGAGTATGTTGAAAAACTTAATAGCCATGTATCTAGGGCTCTCCTCCGTTCTCGCCAATCTATGCGACGGCACCTAAAATACTTGACTGTTCCTTGTAAAGTAAGCACCAGTGCTTACAGAATTGAACTTGCTCAAATGCGTTTTAACAAGGATAAGTATATTGAGTATATATACAGATGGTAAGGTTAAAATCTGTAATGTTCTAAATGAATCCTTGCAGCTAGTGAGCCTTCCAATTTTAGCTATTACTCGCACAGCCTTTTTTGCAACACAAAAAGTCTTTGCAGCTGGGACGATGCTCCCCATGCTTCTATTCCATAAGTTAGGACTGAATGGATATATGCATGGTAAAATATCAGTAATATCCACTTCTCCACAACAAAACTTAACTGGTACAGACAGTAAGAGTGGAGCGATCTTTTGGCAACTTTTCTCAATATGCGTATCCGATCTACATTTTTGATATATATATCTCCCTAAAAATTTAGTCGCATCCCCTTTTTTTTTGATTTGCCAAACGATTTTATTAATAAAGTGTGATCCATCGGTGAGGTGGAAAGATAGGTACCTTTACATTTACACTCTTTCCTGCGGGATTGGAACGCCCCGTTCCAATCACGCGAATTCTCGCGCGTCCAAGCGTGGCGCGTCCTAATACGAACTGTCTTAAAAATTACAACTGCTTATCGCACGGTTTGAGTGTGTGTCGTGGAACGGTATAGGATAAAAGTGCAAATGTAAATCAAAAACTGTCATCTTTCGCGAGTGATATTCGTGGCATGTGGAGTCTTGAAATTTTCAACAGTTTTCAAGGCGGTTTTTATCTTCATAATGGATAAAATAATTAAGAAACGGAAAATAAGAGCAGCTTTGTGCTTGGCTGTGTATCTAAATATTCCAAATAAGAGACAAAGAAAGTGTTGGGTGAAAACATTGTTGGAAAATCGCAACAGATATGGACATTTGCCTCTGCTTCATGAGTTGCGTGATAATTATCCCATGGATTTTAGAAACTATTTGAGAATGGATTCTGAATCATTTAGAATTTTGTTGGATTTGGTTTCTCCAATGATTTCTAAACAAGACACAAGATTGCGGGAGAGCATAAGTGCCGAAGAAAGACTAACAACTACTTTGAGATACTTAGCTACAGGTCGTTCGCTTGAAGATTTGAAATTTTCAAGTGGAATATCTGCACCATCTTTATGTAAAATTATACCTGAGACATGTAAAGCTATATATGAAGTATTAAGGAAAACATATTTAAAGGTAAGATTACTTGTTTTATTGAAATAAACTTCTTGTGATAACAAAAATTGAATATAAACTAAAAAATTAATTACTAAAATCCTGACTAGCTTGCTCATAGTAAGCTGTTATACTTGCTGAATCTAAAGCATGTAATTGAGATGTTCTTTCTGGACGATGTAATGAAGAATTTGATGAAGCAACACTATATGGGCTAGGCGGTGAGAAAAGTGGAAGTGGAACTGGTGATTGTTGCATAATTATCGTTGTCTCGGTTAATTGGTTTAATAATCCTTTATTTACAACTTGATTGATAAGCATATCTGCATAAATAGCCTGAGTTGGATTCATCTTTTTAATTTTTTTCGCCCACGAAATTGCGGCTGCATCAAATTCATCAATTTCATTTTTGCTTTCAAGCTGATTCTTGCAGTAATTCATGAAGTCTGTTTGGGTCTTATTTTGTTTAGAAGTCTTACTTCTTTTATTTGAGGCAGGCTTGAAGGCAGTTGGACTTGTTGGACGTGCATGAGATGTTGAAGGCACTTGTGATGAAACACTTGCAGATTTCTAAAAAAAAATATTATTTTAGTTTCCATCTACGCAGCAGGATTGGCTGGAAGTAGCAAATGGATTTGAACAAAAATGGCAATTTATAAACTGTGGAGGAGCTCTGGATGGCAAGCATATTCGTATTGTACCTCCTCCTCATTCAGGAGCACAATACTATAACTATAAAAATTTTTATAGTATCATTTTAATGGCTCTCGTCAATGCTGACTACGAATTTATTTTTGTCGATGTAGGCAAAAATGGAAGATTATCTGATGGAGGAGTAATTGAAAGCACCAAATTTTATCATAAGTTAATTCATGGTAAATTGTTATACTTGTATATATGTAATTATGAATAATATAATTTTGTGGTTTTAGGCCAGTTACATCTGCCAAATAACACAGACACAGAAAATAATTTCAATTTTGTATTTTTGGGCGATGAAGCATTTTCTTTACATGAAAACTTTTTAAAACCGTATCCTCAAAGAGATCTTTCTTATAGTAAAAGAATTTTTAACTATAGACTATCACGAGCGAGAAATGTTTCGGAAAATGCATTTGGCCTGATAGCGGCAAGGTTTAGAATTCTGCATACACCAATACATATGAAGAACCCGGAAAACATCTGTTACGTTGTACTTGCTATTTGTTCTCTTCACAATTTTCTTAGGAAGCGTGATACTTCTTATACAACATCAACATCATTTGATCAAGAAAATCTGATAACTAAAGAGTTACAGGTGGGTGATTGGAGAAAAAATGCCGTTAATATGACAAAATTAGAAAGTCGTAACAAAAAAGTAGCTACCATAGCTGCGAAAACTAATCGAGATAATTATACAAGTTATTTCAATTCAGATGGAAAAGTTGATTGGCAGGATGAAATGTTGGCCAAAGGAAAAGCTTAATGTATATTTTTGTTTTTAATAAATAAGTACCTAAAAAACTTACTTGTGTATTATTTACTTCTGTTTTCTCTTGAAATTCAACTTCTTCTTCAGTAGAGTGGTTGGAATTTTCTGTTCCTTCATCTTCCATGTTACAAATGCTTTGCGTGGGTATTTCCTGATCAATAGTAAACTGGAGTAAGTCGAAATACCATAATGTGGGAGTATAAATTTCATCTGTACTAGCTCCACTTCGCTTGGATTCCTCTATCTTTTTTAATTCCTTCCGAAAAGAACCACGAAAACTTTGTATTTTCTTCACAACATAATCTCGATTTGCTTCTGGATGTAATTTTGTACAAAACTCGACTAATTTGTCGTAAGCAGCATTTTTCAAATTTCTGTTTGTATATTCTCGGGATTTGATTTTCCATAAGCATGGATAAGATTTATATATTTCAATAAACTCTGAAACAACTTCTTTCGACCAATATCGTGTATCTGCCATATTATCTACCTAACAATTAAAATAATTGAAACTTTGTATATGTATATACAATAAAATACTTACCCGCGCTAGAACACAATTTACGCACAATTGCCCGCGCGAAAGTAAAATGTAATCAAACGTCTTACCTGCACGAAAATCACTAGCGACGAAAATGCGAGTTTGAACACGTCTAAAAACCGAGCGATTATTTCTCATTTATACTGGCATGCTTTCGCACACGATTGGAACGGGGCGTTCCAGTCCCGCAGGAAAGAGTGTAAATGTAAAGGTACCTATTAAGTCTAAGGACACAGATTTTTGATTATTTAAGTCGACCCCATTATTGCTGAACCACTTACCTCCACCAGTCAAGCACCATAGAACTGGGTTTTATTTCTTGAGGACGCCTTCGTCAATATCTCCAGCAGTGAGAATTAGATCTTTCCTTTTAAATGAGGCTTCTATGATATATATCACAGGACTCCCAAAACCCGGTCTTCCGTATCTGTGAAACGACCGTTGTGCTTTAAAAAAGGATACAGTTGTCTTCCGTTTATTGTCGCCTTCTTCCTTTATTAACGCGTCTGCGTTCTCAACTGTTAAGCTGCTTCTGTCCATATGTCTGTGGTTCTGAATTCTGGCTGAAGCCTCGCAGTTATATGATTTATTGGATGTTTGATCTATGTGGTTCGTAACCAACGCTTGTACCCTCAGATACGAGTACATTTAGCAATCCTGCCCCAGCCATCGTTTAACCGTCCCGGAATGCGCGGATGAACAGGCACTCATCCGGAGCAATACAGTTTACCGACTTCTGCACTCATGGAACACTTCTTGATCAAGGCCTAAAAGGGCTGGTCGCTGCTTTAAAGTTGAAACCATATGTCGGCAAAGCACGCTCACAGGAATACCGTAGGAACACTTCCAGCACTGTCACGTTGTCATTTTCCATCACCAGGTCGTCATAGGTCCTTTGCTGTCTTGTTAGGGTCAGCATCTCTAGACCAGCTACCTTCGCCACTGATCGAAGAGCCAGATCTGCCCCTCGACACCCTTCCGCTACCGGGGTTCGTTACCATATTTTGGTCAATGCTTAGATGCATTTAGCGATCCTATCCCAGTTTCCTGAGGGCCAGCCATCGCATAACCAGTCCCGGCATTCACGGACGGATCGGTACTCATCCTGAGCAGTGCAGGATACCGACTCCTGCACCCATTGGGCCCTTCCTGATCAAGGCCCACCCGAAGGGGCTGGTCCTTGATCCAACATTGAAACCAGACGATGGCAGAGCAAGGGTGCAGCAGCTTCGTAAGAGCTCATCCAGTGAGCTGTCGTTATCCGTCTTTTGCTACTGCTCTAAGAACTTGATCTACTCCTTGACATCCGCGCGCTGCGAAACAGACGCTGCCAGAAAACCCTTCTCGGGATGGTTTCGCTACCGGGGTTTGTTCCCTGAGGTCAAGCCATCTCATATTGGAGCCTGGAATATGCTTGAAACAGTATAGCTGCCAGAGAACCACGAGGAAAGGTTTCTGGCAGCGGGGTTGGTTACCCTTTGGTTACCCAAGAAATGTGAGGTTGGCAGTTGTGTATGAGAGGCTATATATTACGCATCAATACACCTTACACTCCAACAGTTTAATTCTGCTTTCTCATTTTCAGGTCTAGGTTCAATGTGTGCAAGAACTTCAGGAGCTCTAACTCCCCTGATAACTCTTCTGGATTCTTTCGACCCTAAGATGCCAGCTATAATATTTTCAGTAATAGCACTTATCTCCGGTGCGTTCGTTAGCCTCCTGCCAGAGACACTGGGCAAACCGATGCAGCAGACTATAGAAGATGGCGAATCGTTTGGTGTTGGAGACACCTGTTTCAGTGCATTGTGCATAAAAAGGATCAAAGATGAAGATGATGATACGAAATCAAAGATGGATATGGAAGCAAACAACGCAAAATATTGACATTGGGAACAATATTGATGATACTTTTCCCAACAAGCAGCCTTGCAAGTTGCTGCATATTGGAATGTTAAATAACGTCTTTCTGTTCTTTGTAATGAGTTGTCCAATAGATAACGCGGGACTATACCTAGCTCTAAAAACTTATTCAGCCGAAAAATAAAATGTGCCACGAAAAATATCCAGGAAGGTTATGTCGTTATGTTTTGTAAAGATAACGAAATTGGATGCGCAGTTACTCTTTGCGCACTTTTACATCCACTTTCGTGTATAACATATACTGAGAGAAAATGGAAGTGCACAGTAATGATTTCTTGTAGAACAAATATGATAAAAAAATGTATACAGGCTTTTTGATTTGTGCAAACCCATAATTTAGTCCGGTGGATTATACAGGGTGTTCATTTGACAACTTCCCACCACGGATTTATCGAAGACCACTGATTAAAAGAAAAAACGCTGAGACACGTCAGAGGATTTGTCAGAGGGGACAATTTTTTACGCAAAAACTACTTCACCCTCTTTCACCCTCTGCCCCCAGGGTCATCCCCTCAAAATTTTTAAATGACAAGGGGTATCGAGTGATAGCTTGTTTGAAAGGTCTTTTGAGGTCCTTTATTTCAACGTTTGATTTATTGAAATCGGTCTATTCGTTTTCAAGTAAATTAGAAACATCTTTATTTATCTTAATTTGTTCAGATATAAAACAAAAACACACCAAATATCACTTTTTATTTCAATAAGTGTTCAAAATGTGGTGTTCAAATTCCTGACGGACATTCTCAAAAACGTGTTGTGGGATATAATGCCAGCTTTCGATGATACATTGATGAAGTTCATCCAAACTTTCAGGTTGAGGAGTAAACACGATATATTTCAAATGATCCCATAGAAAAGTCTAATGGCGTCAAATCAGGAGATCTAGCAAGCCATTCTATAGGCCCTCTTCGCCCTACCCGTTTATCTGGAAGCTCGTCGTCTAGCCGAACAGGAAGAACATAGTGAGGAGGAGCGCCGACTTGCTGGATATATATTTCAGCCTCATTAAGTATAGGATTTCCATCCTCTTCGGTTTGGTTTTCCATGCTTTCAGTGATAAGCGGATTGATAGATTTTTTCCAACATATCCAAATAAATGTCTCCATTTAAACTTCCATTAATAAGCAATGGCCCAATCACTTTGTTTCCTAAAAGGCCTACCTATACATTGATTTTTTGGGGGTACTGGGTATGCCCTTTTACAAAAGCATGAGCATTTTCATTGCTCCAATATCTGCAGTTATGCTTATTAACAAATCCATTTAGATAAAATGTGCATTCATCAGCATCAAGCAGATATCTTTACATGAATGGTATTTGTTCACAAAACTCAATTCAAAATTATCTTCGGTTGACTCTTTTTTGAATGGATGAAATTTATGGAGTTTAGTGTGTACAGAACCTAATGAAATATCAGTCGCAGCAACAATTTTGCGTATTGGAGTATTAGGATTTATTCCAAAATGACCCAAAACTTCAACTTGAGCGGCTTTATCCATAACTCTCCGATTATCACGTGTTTTTATTTGAGTAAATTTAGTAACAAGGTCCAAAACATATCTACGTGAAGTTATCTTCCCCGGATGTCTGGCGGTTTGCTGAGCACATTGATACTGAGCACCATAAATTAGAATCATTTCCACTCTTTCGGCTAGTGTGTAAACCATTTTGGAAGTAAAATCTGAATCAATAAATTAATTTTCACTATCAAAAGATTGTCACAAAGGTAACTGACAGCAAATTAAATTCTTTCTTTCCCTTAGCAACAAATAACTTAATAGGTATAACAATAAATACATCCCAGGATATCTGTGTTGATGAAAAGAATGCAGAAAAAATTTGGGTTGTTATTTGGTTCTTGCTACGTCTAGTCTTTCGAATTGCTGTTTATGTTTTTGGTCTCCGTTTTGAATTATAAACGAACTGTAGATAACCCTAACAAGCAACATTTTGAACACTTATTGAAATAAAAAGTGATATTTTCGTGAGTTTTTGTTTTCTATCTGAACAAGCTAAGATAAAAAAAGATTTTGCTAATTTTCTTAAAAACGAAATTTAAAAAATCAAGCGTCAAAATAAAGGACTCCAAATTCCTCTCAAGCAAATTATTACTCGATACCCTTTGTCATTTAAAATTTTTAAGGGGATGACCCTGGGGGGCAGAGTGTGAAAGTAGTTTTTGGTTAAAAAGTTCACAAATCTTTTGACGTATCTTGGCGTTTTTTCTTTTAATCAGTGGTTTTCGATATATCAGTGGCGGGAGGTTTTCAAATGAACACCCCGCATAAAAGATATGAATTGTACCACCTGTTGTCAGAATTAACTACTGAAACAGCGTAATTTTACCAGGCTACATTGTTGTAGTGCTTACAAGTTAGTAGGCTTGCCTGGAAGATATTTGACATTCCTTTTCTAAATATAGCAAAAATACCATTTGTACTCGTTAAATAAAGTATTTTATGTTAATTCTAATATTCGCCTGGTATCTGCCACCTTACCCGGCATTTGAAACACCTATTGTCACAATAACTGTTGCTGCAAAAGCACCGTCTGCATTCTCATCTTCCAATTTTCTCAACTGTAAAGAGTTCAGGAGAATATTGCAAGTTCGTAGCTTACTTATAACTAAACTACATATATCTTTATGGATACTCTTGAAACTTCATTTCTTTATTAAATTAAGCACGAGTTTTGTTGACCTATGGACAACTTCTAATTATGAAACCAGAACATTACTTTAGGCTCATTGGAGACAATTAAATGATTCGATAGTTTGGTATTAACACGTGTTGTGTTAATCAGTTTCAGGTTTACATTATGTGATTGATCTTCTACAAATATCATTAGCTATATACAGGGTGCGACAGCAAAATTTCCTTTTTTCAAAACCCATTGTATGAATCAGAACATTTTGGTTTTTTTTATATTGCATGCACATGCCTAAAGCTTTGCTTTAAATAGCTTTGAAGATCAAATCATATTAGTGATGTTCCCCATTCTCCATACACTGAATAAATCGATTTCTGGCGTTTGTTATGACCCTTCCAGCTTGGCACTCCTAATGATGGCAATTTCTTCTTGTATTTTGGTTTTCAAATCTTGTAGGGTTTTTGGAAGCTTCACATAAACTCGGAATTTAGAAGGCCCATATAAAATAAAACAAGAAGCCAAATCGAGAGAGCGGGCTGGCAACTCCAAATTTCACCTAATTCAGATGAGGCGCTCTGGGAAGTGTTCCCTCAAAAAATATCCCCAAAGTCCAACTTATCTAACCTTGGAAAAAATTCTTGCAACATTTTCACAAACCGCAGGGCTATTACGTAAAAAACCTATAAAACGTAAAAAAAGAACGGAATGTCGACTTGCTACCTAGATAGTTCCTAGTGTGCAACTAGTACATTCCGAGTTTGCTCGGACAGACGCTATGAGCGCTGTGAGCGTCTTCAAAAGCGTATACCTATGGAGGAATGAATCAACAACACAACACGCTCAGTGACCATGCTGAAAGCTGCAAGTCAGTTCCCTATCATGCTTTGTTTGTTGCAGAATGCCGAGATAGGATGTAGAGTACTCTGAGAAGTTGTGTGATTGAGTAGTTAGTAGAGTAGCAAGATCACATCTAGATGATCGTGTGTATTGGTCTGCATGTGTATATACGTAAAATCAGTGATGTTTGCTATGTGAGAAAATTATTACTGAATATTCTGCCCATAAAATATATATATTAGCTGTACCAGATGGGTTATTTGTGTTGTTCTTTCTGCAGAGAAGTTATGTACAAAGTCATACATTACGATTTTTCTCGTTTTTTGCCTTTTCAAAAACTTACAAAAAAAAATTAAATGTCTAGAAATAAAAATTAATGTGAATGTAATAACTTTTTACGTTTCATGAATATTCCTGTATGTAGATCATTTTCTTACCTGTTAGTTTTAGTATACATCACCAACCAGGGATTTTCGTTTCTTATCGCTCTCCTTTTAGAAATTCAGCAAATTTGCATATGTAACTTGGTTGAATAAGAAAACGCAGATGGGCAAGTAATTTTTAGCTTTGCATACATCTCAAGTAAGTGTATTTGAGACAAGAAACCAATGGAATTATCATCAACACAGATTATTAGCATACAAATTCTTAGTATGCATCTATGCACTGCCGTTTCCTTCCAGCTATTGTATGCAACTTACAGCTTAGACCTCCAAAAATGTCATCTCTGAAGCAGACGTTACGCTTCCTAGTATACCACTCACAGAAACGTATTCGCCTTGGAAAATCAGTTTCCTCAAGTCCTTGGTTTGTATGGATGGTACTTATTCTTATTTAACACTCTCTGTACTGTTGATTTTGACACACCAATTTTTCATTCTAAAGTTCTTACTGGAGCACTAGGGATTTCGTTGACAGCTTGTAAAATGTTTCTGTCCCGATTTTCGTTTTCAATATTGTATCCTCTTCTAGGTTGCTCGAAGCCATGGTTTATTAAATTAACTACCATTTTTCTAAATTGGGTTTTATGAGGCTGCCGTCGTTCGGGGTACATCTCCAAGTACCTTGCTCAGGTAATGTGGGCGTTTCTGTGTGACTGCAGGTACAGTTCTAGCATGTCAAACTTTCCTTCATCTGAGTAGCGAATACCGGCCATTTTCAACAGGTTTTGCCAATTTTTTTGTCAGATTTGTGATTCTAATTAGATAAAACGTACCTACTACTTATTAAAACATAATTTTAGTACTTTGAATTATTTAACTTCAAAGTCAGAGCCTACTTAGATGAAAAAATGCGTTACTTATTAATTTTGTTTTCTGACAAATAAATCATTGCCTCCTTAGAAAAAAATTAATACATAACATTACGTGTGATGATATTTCAATGATACTCCAATCTTTTATGCACTTGTGAGACATGACTAGGCTGGAAATTTTACGTCCTTTTTTTTAAATCAAAAATCCAATATGGCCGCCATAAGCAAAATGAAAGTTGAGGTAGGTTGCGGGAAAACAAAAGACAATTAAGACATGTCACACACGCTATCTTATTTGCCTTGAAAAAATGTACGACTAATGTCACATTTTGACAGCTGTCAATTTAGTCGTTTCAGATTTACTGGCAAAAAACAAAATTCGATATTTTCAGTTTTTCGCCGATATTCCCAAAACCAATTGACCGATCGTAAATCTGAAGCAAGCTATCGAATGCACTAAGTTTCCTCTAAAACTTTCCCCATTTAACCTTTGCTGTACGTATAACAGGAGCCAAGATCCCTGTATAGAGAAGCGAATCTGGGACTCACTGTATAGAAATTACCAACCCAGTTATTTGACATCATAAATACTAAACAGTAGAAAATAAATAAAACAAAAATTATGCAATACACAAAAACAAGCTTAATATTTCCAATTGGAGGAATTTGCAATTTTGTATTTTTAGTTCGCGTTATTAACAGCTAAATAAAAGCTTTTTTTTTAGTTTTTTATTCTTTTTATTTAACTTTTGGGACACTTGAGGCGACTAGGAATCAACATGGCCGAATGACCTTTATACCTGGCTTTGATATAGTTATTCAAGTGGGGTTGCTGTTGCTAAGTTGTAGTTGTTTGTACCTACAGTGTTGTAGGTGGAGTTGTAGCTGTAGTTCTAATTGTAGCTGCAGAACTTTTTGCTGCCGTAGTGGCGGGACTAGATATTTCTGTAGGACTGCTGCAAGAACCTCTTTCACAACGTCTAGAGCTTAAGTCAAATATCCGCCCATTTCGACACGTTTGCAACTGAATATTGTACCACCACATTATCTTCGTGCATTTGTAGTACTGATTGCATTTCTGAGCAGGATAGTTTCCTGCACCAACAGATTTACAGTCTGGAGGCTTATCTGCAAACAAAAATAAAGAATTAAACGAATGAAACTTCTATCCATCAGTATTGGTTGTTTTTCGAATAACAGTAAAACCTAGCGTCTGTCAGGCAGACTCTTCTTCCTGACATCAGTCGAAAAATACCATTTTGTTCAGGATGTAATTTGAAGAGCATTGAAGACTTTTCCGTCTGGTCCGTTTTCTTGTACGGACTGAAGCTATAGTTGAATTGAATTGAAATGTGAATCATGCGACGAATATTTCTGGATTGATCAAGTGAGAAGTTAGAATATTCTGCGACAAACCGTCTTAGTGGAACGTGCATTTTTGGAAACCATCAGAATGAGAGAAAAACACGGAATGTTCATTACAGTGCAAAATTACGCGAACGTTTCACCTGGCTTCAATGTTGTCATAGGAGGAATTGTGGTTTGCGAAGTTGTTATAGCTTCAGTTGTATCTGCAGTTGTAGTTGAAGCTGAGGCTGTAGCTTCAGTTGTAGTTGTAGCTGCTGTTGTAGTTAAATCTGCAGTTTCGGCATTGGTTGTAGCTGCGGCTGTTGCTGTAGTTGACGGTGTTATAGCTGCAGTTGTAGGCGTTTCTGGGGAATTGCAAGTACCTTCTGCGCAGTTTTTAGAGGTTACATTGAATACCTGACCATTTGGACATGTCTCCAGCTTAATGTTGTACCACCACATCACCTTTGTGCATCGATAATACTTGCTACAATTCTTAGCTGGATAGTATCCTGCACCAACAGATTTACAGTCCGGAGGGCTGTCTGTAAACAAAACAGTTGAAAATGAAACAGGGTTTTATAACTTATACCTCATATGTTAGAAGTTGGAGCAACTGTGGCAAAACTGAACAATATTCTGAAAGGAGAGTTGTGACTTGGCTCAAATTTATTTGTAAACAAAGACAAACACTGTATAATCCTAGGAAAAGCATTTTAATGAAGACTATAGGGTTTCCGCAAAGTTGGGGTTTTCCTTTACACGACGTGTAGATCTTGAGAAAATAAGCGGATTTGCTTAGTAGCATATACACCAATATCTTGAGTGAACCGAGATATTGGGCTCCGTAAACTCAATCAAACCTGAACCAAACCGAAGCCGGTCCTGTCCTATCCCTCGATCACGTCCTCAGCGCCAGCACCAGCATACAGTTATACGACGTACGACTACGATGTAAATATGGATTTTACGACAGAGCCATACTTGGAATTTCAATTCAACTGAACAGAGTACTTTTTCATTTATTTTTTTTACTTCGCTCATGTTTCACCACACATATCAAGCGTAGTTGTGTCTGAATAAGAAAACCCCAACTTTGCGGACACACCGTATACACAAAGTTTTGGAAAAACTTATAAGGAGACATTTCCAATAATGATGCGACCAATATTGTTGAGTTCCCAATAACTCCGAAAATTTTTGTGAAATTTAAAGATGGTTTGATTTTTGTAGTTGAAATAATCTAAACACATCATACCCTCTCATTCACAGAGATATTGATATCCCATATTTAAGGGATTAAGTAAAACAACAGGCACAGCGGCGGTATAATCAAGCGGAATCGCATAGCAACCCTCTGATGTGTGATTCAGTAGACTACACAGTCGAGCAAGTTCGCAAACATTCCAGGCCGCACCTCGCACTGTGATCAAAATTAAGTTGTAAATTTAGACCAGCCAAAATTATTTTAGTACACAAAACCGATCAAAATTATTTTTTGGAGTTACAAAATAATTCGAGTAGTTCAAATGCTTAAGCTATTTCAAATGATTTACTTCTTTTCTTTGCTCTATTTCTTCCTTTCTTTCTTTCTTTCCCTTTTCCCCTTAAACATGCTTGGTATCTGGGTAGCCAGACCCGACAGACTAACAGACCGACGAGACTTTTAACTAAGAGCAAAGGTCCACTGGACCGCTCTAAGGAATAATGACGAATAGTATCATACCATTTGATGGTGTTGCAGTAATTGTAACGGATGCAGTTGCTTCGTCATTAGTGGTGCTAGCAGGATTTGTGGCTTTTGTTGATACTGTGGTAGATACATTTTCTTCAGTAGATTCTGTCGAAGCTGTAGCACCCTGCGTGGATAGCGAGGAAGGTGTTGCTACCGTGGAAGTAGAATCTGTAGGATTAGTTGTACCACTGGTTTCTGTTGATATCACGGTAGTGGTTCTCTCCCCCGACGTTGTTTGTGTAGAAGGTGCTGTTTCTGGTGTATCGCAAAATCCAATAGAACATTTTTTTGAGCTGGTGTCAAATAAGTGACCAGCCGAACATTCTTGCAACTTTACATTGTACCACCAAAACGACTTGGTACATTCGTAGTACTGACTACGGGTTTCACCTGGGTATTTTCCTGGACCAACTGATTTGCAGTCTGGTGGGGCCGCTACAAAAAATGCGTCAAGTAGGTCATAAACGATTCTCTTAAGCAAAAGTTAGATCCTATCTAAACAAGACAGCAACATAGACCTTATATAGTGGAAAAAGGATAGTTGCTTTCGCCTTTTCCATGCTGATGTGTTACAACAGCTATTTTGTTCATATCAATGAAATCTCGTGTCTCATATAATGAACTTCTATGATAGAAACAGAAGAATAAAGTAAAATAAATTAGTGCAAACGTCAAATAGTGAATGGGGGCAGTTCGAGCACGTGACCAGACAGCAACAACTTGCTCTTAACCGCATAAATCTCCCAAGAAAAAGATTAATTGAAAAATCATTTTATTATCTTGTGGTCTGGCTCATTAGATTATATTAATATTCTCTTTTATACGAAATAGCCGCTATGATCTTAAAATAGATGTAACATATCTCAATCAATACTCTTAGTGAATCTGATTACAACAAATAGGTGGTAAACATACATAAAATATTAGATATAAATTGCAGAAAGAATGTTTTTCAAACATCAGGTGATAGCTATGACCCCTAGCAGTTATTTCATTATTTATACGTATTTTCCTTTCTTATTTGACATATATGACCTCTAGCTTCACATTGATGTAACATGATCTACAAGGACAATAAACTATCTATGAAAAAGCGTAAATATAAATTTTTAAGTGGAATATCTGTAAACAGTGTCATATTGACACATTTTATACAACTATATCTAGCATAAATCTTTCTTCTTATCCAGTAGTACTTCAAAATTGCAATTTATGCCAATTCCTTGATATATACCATAACGAATAAACATATTGATCTGCGGTCGTAACCATTTTAGAGGATTTATTATGCACTTTTCGATCAATATAAAGAAAATATAATGTTGTATTTGAAATTTGCGAAAACATGATAAATAAAACGCTGACACATCTACAACGCGCCATCTGGCTTCCACAAACTGAACAAATCTGGCAAGATTGAGCATTCGTGAGGAGCGCAGGTGAATAGTCTTTCAAACGAAACCAAGATCACCAAAATGGATGCAGCCAGACAGAACGTACGTGAATTTTTCTGAGGTGACATTCAACCCTTTATCTACCCTAAATTAAACAAAATATGAGAAAATGACGTAATAACAAAAATTCGAAAATTGAGCGGTCAACACGACAAGGCTCTATTCAACGAGAAAGCTGGTTATGAATTTTTGCAAAATAATGGCGTTTGAGTTTTTGAAATTGGAATAACGCCACCTAGCGGCTATTTTAGGAAGCTGAAAATATTATCCAGCAATTTGTACATCATAAATAACAAAAAGCCGTAAGCTTCAGTGTCTCTGAAGCTACAATACTTTGAATCAACACTCTTTCTTCAAGAAGATCTGTTAACAATTACACAACAGTATGTACATACACATATGTGCACTATTGTTTTATAGAACTGTAATGCTTGTTTGCATTCGTTGTAAAAGTGAATGCATATATGGATTATGGATAGTCGATAAGGTGATAGGTGGTGCATTAGTTTTGTCGCTTATACTTACCTGTTGCGCCTATAATAAATCCAAAGAATATTACACTATACATTTCTGCCTCTACCCCTGAGAAGTCATCTGTAGATAGGTACGATCTTGCCCACAAAGTAAAGAAGCAAAGATTATATAGATATGTTCGACAATAAAACAAATTTATTAATTTATAATCTGTTAGTTCGTTTATCTTTTCGCTGTACGTGTGAGACATCTTCTGTCTAAACAAAGGTTTGTTGGGATTTAACTCATTGGTCTTGATAATCCAGTTTTATGACAGTTTACTATAAAGCGCATGATTTTAATTACGTATTGAGTGACTTAATGCATGCATTCGAAAATGGCGTCTTCTCTCTTCAAATTTGAAGCTTTTCGAAGTTTCATACTGTATTCAGTGTGAGTTTTAAGGGTGGGATCCGTCTTTTGTTCTATTATTATAAAAGATGTCCAGAAAAGTTATTTGCAAAATTTTCAGGCAAATATAAATGCCTTATTTGGAAAACTTGCCACTCTCTTCAGGATAACTACGTAGCAACACAAAAATTCGTGTTTAAATCGAATGCTCTGATTATTTCAGTAGATTCTGAAAGGCCTCTTCAAGGTAAGACGCATACTTCAGGAGGTATGGGATGTTTAGTCCGAGGAAAAAAAACAGTCACATTTGACACCTTATAGGCCAGTCTTTTTCGTATATCTAGAATCTAGAGGAACAAGATTTTGGTTATAATTAATTTTATATCCCATCGTTAACGTCTTGTTAATTTTCATGCACCATCTATACAGAGTGTATATAATTCCAAGATGTACTTTTTCTCAGAAAAATCAAATAGTATTTATTACAATTTTGGGTTATATACTCTTTATAACCTTTTTTGGGTAGCTGGATTACAAAACTTTTGAACTATTTGCAGTTTTCCAGAAAGTACAGATCAAAATAAATAAATAAAACATTATTCGTTGAAAGGGCGGGGCCGGGGGTTAGTAGATGGGAGGCAGCTGTGTTCAAAGTTTTTTCCCATACTCCATTTTGTATGAATAGTGTGTTCTTCGTTTGTTTTGAATTATAATTTTTGGAAGCCTCCAAATAACTAAAAAAATAATGACTTAATCCCCCAAAAATTGCATACCAAAATAAAGGTTACAAAGAGGGAAACTATATAGGGCTTTCTATTTGTTTTCTTTAAGACAACTACATTTTATATTTATAAACACTCCATATAGGTGTTGCAGAATACTTCAAGGACGTTTGAATATCAAGAAAACATACGATATGAAGCTCACTTTAACGGAAGTTCGCGATTCTAACAAACAAGCTGTCAAAGTTGATTTTTGGGAATTCCAGAAGTAGCGATTCAAATCTCACAGTATTCTACCTGTATAAAACTTTTTTCTTTGAAGTGGCCTTGAATTCTATTTAAGTAAATGTATATGTTTGTAACCCACGTAGTTATGAAACACCCTGTAGAGCGCTGCTTATTTTCAAAGTAATGAGCGTAGTTGCTATCCATGTGTAAACAAGCTTTTTAGGTACCTTTTTTGATAAAATTTCAGGGACAGTATGCTGCGTAAGGTTAACGGTACTTCAATTACGAAAGCCAATTTCATAACTGCCTTACGTCAAATTTTTGAGCAATCAATCATCGGAGTTTATAGATACAGCCGGAAATATATAAATGAGACAACAACAGAAATATTGCTACACCCGCATATGCATATTTGTGAATTTATTTCTGAAGAATGGTGCAGAATATTAAGTAACACAGAAAACACATCACTTCAATAGCATCTACATGATAATCAGCTATAAATCTGCAATGCTCCACAATTCACATGTTCTCTAACCGTCTTCACATGTTCCTTTGACGCACTTCATAGCTTCTTTGTCGAAAATAAATCCTCTGAAGCAAGTCTTCAGCTTTGGACTTCGGTGGATCGATGTGCAATGGTAGTATTGGTTACACTTTTTAGCTCGATAATTTCCGATTCCTGATTCTCGGCAGTTATGAAGATATACTGGAAAATAGAGAAAATTATATGTCTGAGCACTTTGAACTGGGTCGTAGAGTCCACAAATTCGTTAACATTTAATACGAGATGGCTCAAGTGTTGCATAACAATTAACATAGAGCCTGTTTTAAACGCCGCTCTTTGAGTACTGTTTGAGAGCTGCTGAGCCATTGAAAATAATATAACCATGGTAACAATAATGCTTCCTTGAGGAACGTTCAATTTAACATTTGTATTTCACAATACCTACGCTGCAACAGATCTCATCAGAGGCTGGCAGCGATGTCAGAAAGATTTTGCTACCTGTATCCACTTAGTATTTTGTTGATGAATTTGGGGCGGAGCAAATTAGTAATGTAATTGCTTTCTTGAATTCATAGCGGAATCGGAATCAGGAAACTGTGGGTATAGGCATTCAGTACTGCACCGAACCTGTACTAGCTGTGTCTGTCAGAATCAGACGTATCAGTGTACAGCTTTGATACAGCCTTGATACCAGGGGTTCAAATAAATTCAAATCTTTCATAATGTATGATATCGATTCTAAAAAGACATTTAGAGAGCAAAAACCTTAACGAAAATAATACACCCAAACAAACCAGTGAGCAACTGGAAAAATTGTGGAACAATACCAAACAATGATAAGTAGAACGATTTTGCAACAGCCAGGGAAATAACAATATTACCTATGAATTAATTTTTATAAAGCTGCCTTTTTTTATGGAAAAGGTTCGTAGAGTGGACTGTCGAGACCAGATATTTCATAAAGGCTTAATTGTTTGCTGAAAATATCGCAACGTTTAGATAATTGTTATTTTGAAATTTGGAATGTTTCAAAGAACCAAAATGCAAAGTTTTTTATATATAGTATATTGTACTTCAGAAACCAAATCATTATTATTTCCCTGGCGGTTAAAAAATCGTTCTATCTACTTTTGCTTGATGTTGTTCCACGATTTTTTGAGTTTTTTGCTTGTATTTTCCAAAAGTTAACATTACACCGATTTTTTGCCATACCGATTTTTTACGTAAAACCTCTGCTAAGAAAATCACAGCATTAGGCGTCATACTGGCTGCCTGTAGGTACATTTTACTGGTTCGGATACCGATATAAATTCTAGAAAGCAAATACATACATTACTACTTTTCATTGTTTAGTAATATTTAGCACAAAAAATGATCCATTCATTTCCAAATTTATATCAAAATACTAAATAGATGACAGCCTGTCGTGACATCTGTTACAGCCTACTGTGAAATGCAGATATTAAATCCCCCCTTGAACGGCACTCAGCCCTCAAAAAGCTTCTTTGTAAATAATGTGGCTCTCAGTTCAGCAAGGTTTTGCTCGTATTGGTTAGGTTCAGTTTGTCTCACACACGTGACTTCTGTTAATTAGTCTCATGGTTTCCAAAAGCTAGCGAAAAGTAGTGCTGCGCGTGGTTTGCGTTTACAGAACGGTCTCGACCGATGAACTGCTGCCCCAACCAGGGTCATCTTAAGCCACAGGAGCTTGGGGCCCCCAAAAAAATCGAAGACAGTCGTACTTCTAATAAAACATATTTATTGAATTACAAATTGCCTTACAACAATATTCTGGGCTTTTTCCGTGATTTCATTTGGGCAAAATCTTCAATGATGTCGTCAAACTCCAATTGCTGCAATATGTATGTCTATAGACATAAGGGGCAAACTGATGAGGCGTTCTTGTGACATGGACGTTCTTGATTCATTTTTTGTTCTCTTCAACTTTGAAAAAGACCGCTCTTCGCTGCAGTTAGTGACCATTAGACACAGAAAAATTCTTGTTGCAATTTCCACATTTGGGAATGTTCCTTCCAGTTTGTTCCTTCTCAGGAGGCTATGCAAGGCCGGAATACTTTCAGCCGATTCATTTTTCAAGGTCAGCAGATAATGTGCCAAATGTGAACAGTTCTCAGTTCAGCTTAAATAATATATTATGTGTATGTGGCATACATACCTGCATCAATACAGTTGGAGTTATAACGACTAGATGGCACTGTTAGCGACTACTTTTATGAATAACAAGTGTAGTGGTCTATGTGATAGCTAGATGGCGCAACACATTGCATATAAGCATATGGCTTTTGGGGTCCGCCATCATGACGGGACCCTAGGCCCGGGCCCCGCGAGCCCCTGAGTTAAGACGGCCCTGGCAACCCACTTTTTCAATAAGATAATGATCCTCCACCTATAACCAGAATTACTTTGTCCGATTTTGAAGTCAGTCAAATCGATTTGTTACCTTATCTTCCTAGATCTCCCAACGTTTCAACTGTTGAACACGTCTGTGACATGATGGAAAGAAGATTACACCGTTTATCCTATACTTCACAAACTCTAACGGCACGAGAGGATGATATTATACCTTAAGAGGAAATCAATTATCTGATTAGGAGTATGCCCACAAATGTTTCTGAGTGCATAAGATACCGTGGAGGCCCAACACATTATTAGTTTTTTACATTTTTTCCAACGGCTGGTTTTTGATGAAATTTTCACACAAGGTTGCTACCATGCCAAAGACGAAAACACATTGTAGTCTTTGAAAATCGGTAAACTGGCGGCGAGGCCTGGGTCAAAAACACCAAAATAAAAATCGCTTAAAGTTCGTTTTTAGCTGTTTTAGAGAACCAATCATTTTTAAAATTCATTGAGGGTTGAAAGTATTGAGGATGAGAGGGTGGCAAGGGAGGGGGAGGGAATATCTCAATTGTTTGGCATTAGTGTGTGTATAAACTATACGCAATCATGCAATAGCTGTTAGACATAGTTCACAAACAAAATTTCCCCTACAATTGCGATTAAGATTTTACAAGTCGAATGATAGAGATATTTTTTTCGATATGGAGACATGTATGAATGCCGGAAAGGATGCTGACAACTGGCGGTCCGCTGACCAGACACATAAGTCTTCACAAACGGTTAGCGTTACTGGTTGTTGGTGTAGAGTAGAGAGTAAACGTCTAGTCAAGTTAGCAAAAAAAAATGCCTCAATTGTGTTGACTTTGTACCTAATAATGCAAAACATCTTGTGAAAAGTACAATAATATATTTATTAAACTAATGTTCGTATAGGGATTTGGATTGTGGGAGTGTATATTTGAATTATTTAGTAATTGCTTGGAAATTCTACTTATGTAACTATTAGACATATTTCACACATAGAGTTCCCCGCACATTTGCCCTTGCTGAACCGACATTGTGTTCCGGTGGTATCCGCCGAGTTAGCACAAGGGTAGAAAATGAGCCGGTCGCGTGCTGGCAGCTGCAGAAGTTTAGTTATCGCAAGTGCGATCAGATAGCAATATACTCAAGTGGGTACTAGAGTCTAATTGTATGGATATATATGAATGATTTGCTTCATTTAATTCCTTTGTTATGCTAGCTCGTAGTTACCTGTTGTTTAGAGGAGTAATTTGTGCTTAAAATAATCCTTTATGAACTGATGAAAGTGTTCATTGGAAAGTGCAGAATCAACCTACTTGACGCCATTTTTTCGCTATGTGAGTGGATACTTCTCAGTATCAACTGACCAGCTTTTAAATACCTTACTTGTATGTCATAGATTCTTATGTAGTTCGGTATGTGCTATTTACAAATGATATTTTAGCCAGACATTTGCATTTTCAAGCATAACAATTGATATCCTATTTAGGGTACCTAAAACATACCTGGACCGACACAGGTTTTCTTATCTTTGTCGTAAGTCTGTCCAGCTGGGCAATTATGACGAGCAGACATGTATTTGTTACCATTTTTTGAACATTTGTAGTAGGTATCTCGTGTTTCACCCGGATATCGTCCTATGCCATACTTTTCGCATTCTGGATGGTGGTGGTCTTTATGGTCAACTGGAAATATTTGGTATTACGAACAACTTCAATGATTTTAAATGTAACATACAGTACCTGGTTTTACAATGACACAATTTTTCTCATCCTTGTCATAGATTTTGCCTTCTCGGCAGTTATGCAGAACAGCCTTATAAAAATTCTTATTTTTTAAACACTTGTAGTACTGATTAGGCTTAGGGGCAGGATAAAGTCCAGTACCATATTTTTCACAATCTGGAACTTCTTTTTTAGCTAGAAAAATTCAATAATTTCTAAAAAAAATTAATTTGTGCCTATACAGTTACTCACACTCTAGGAGTATAATACAGTACCTGCTTTTTTAACACAAGTTTTCAGTTGTCCATCGAAGATTGCATTATGTGGGCATTTATGCGCAACACTTTTATAAGAATTCCCAAATTTCGAGCATTTGATGTAAGTGCCAGGTTTACTAGATGGGTGCCGCCCAATACCTAACTGTTTGCAATCTGGATGTTTGAGCTCAGCTAGAAAAAATCAGTATTAATAAGTATATCTACCAAACTATTGTCTAAAGTAAAACTTGCAGATTGCTTTATATGATGTGAGTTCCGTTCAGTTGCAAAATACGTACCAACGTACTATTGATGTCTTACTAGCATCTACTACCAAGAAGATGGATACACTAAGGAAAAAATTTAATTAAACCAATTTGTTCTAAACTCCCTCGGTATCTAGTTTCAATTTTCCGAGATAATTCCAGCATAAACTAGACACTCAGAGAAAAGTTAATCAAACATGTCCATACAACAAGTTTAATTAGTTTAATTAAGCCAAAACGCAGTCGCTTAGTTAAATTTATTAAGCCGTTTAATTAGATTGATTACACCAATTTATTTAAAATCAATGAACTATTAAAATGAGTTTGCCTGCTGCAAGCAAAACAATTTAATTATACGGGGTGTTTCAGAACTAAGGGATCAAATTTCTAGGGGTTATTCAGTGTAACAGTAGAAAACATTTGAGTACAGGGACCCATATCCGGAAAAGTGTCAATACGGCACTCCGGCCCTAAGACGCGTTAAAATTTAGAAAGACGATGAATTGCCTAAATAGGATTTAATGCATTTAATTTTTGCCTTTTGTACATGATATCATCGCAACAATTGTTCAAAATGTCTACCTCCAACCTGAATACACCGATTTAAACGTCGCACATGATTTCGGCGGACTTGACTATAAATTTGATACTCGTTTTTTTTATATTCCAACTACCACGAAGGCCTAAGGTCTAAGCACCCATTGGGTACCGTGGTTCTATGGGGGATACATGGGAAAGGGGGGACGCCACACAGACTCTGGCGAGGGAACACGTGTGCATGCAACATGCACACATTCTGGCTCCGCCTACGAGAACCGCCGGGTGATACCTCCGCGTTCGACAGTCAGAGACCATCTACCACCTACGGACAATCACTACATCCATAGCCAAGAGAAAAATTTCTCCTGGGACGGTACTCGAACCCGCACAGCGCACGGCGACTGATCAGGAGACCGAACAGTCTACTACTGCGGCCACCGCTGCTTCCGTTTTGAATGATTTCAAATGCTGCTGTAATTCGTCCAACTAAGTCTTGCTCTGTTTCTACTGGAGTTTCGTAAACCAAAGGCTTTACATGTCCCCACAGGAAAAAATCTAGCTACGTTAAATTGGGTGACCTACGAGGCCAAGAAACTGCCCCAGCTCTGGCAATCCAACAAGCGCCGGATATGGGTCCATATACTCAAATGTTTTCTACTCTGAATAACCCCTACAAGTTTGATCCCATATCAAATTTGCTTAATTAGTTTAGGTTAAAGTGTTTTTAGTTTTTATGAATTATTCTACTTAGATTTAATAAGATATTTGGATAAGAATTGGAATTTAAAAAAGCAAACTGCATTTTACTGAATGATGTTCTTTGATAGTTGATCTTATCAAATCGAAATAAAAACGTCCAAATTGTGAACTTACGAGTATATTATGTGGTCAAGTTTCAAGAACTATGTGTCTGATGGCTCAGATATAGGTTATAATATATTGCCATCCACTAGAAGAAATGTTGTTTTAAATTCAGAAAGGGAAATGGTTACCTGATCAGAGGGTTGCTGCTATGCCAAGGGCGAAACAACTTTATAGTGCTAGGAGTGAAAGCGCGAAAAAAATAAAAATCGCTCAAACTTTGTTTGACGTTTCAGAGAGACTAAGGGGATTTAGGCTGTAAGGAGGGTATATCTCAGTTATTTATGTTAGTATATTTATACGCTCCAAGCCCCAGTAATTATATGCACCTATTTTCCATATATCACACATCACAGATTTTCCATGCTCGATGCTGTCTGACTGACCGATGACTGTTCTCTAACGGACAGTCTCGGAACCCTGCCGCACTGACGGCCACCAACGATCTAGCTCTCTCCTATCGCTACGCCAATGGGTCTGGCGCCTCAGACCTCTTCTTCATGAAGCCTGTGCGTGATGTGCCTGAAATACAGACCTGCTTGACTTCCGCCTCCCATCCTAACCGTGGCGAACTTCGTACATCCGGAACTGGTCGATAAGACCGCTCGTTTGTCCCTAGAGTATCGAGATTGTGGAACAATCTACCTGAGGAGGGTTTTCCCAATACTACTAACCATAGGCAGTTCAAAAATCAGATAAACAAAGTTTCTTTAATCTCTTCATATGACCAGCTTATACCACATTATAGTGGAGTTGTCGATCGTTTCTCACTGAAAGTTGTGAATGTTTCTATACGAATGACAAACTGTCGTGACCAAAATTAAGGTTCTTGAAAATGTAGCTTTGACAGTTGCTGAGAATTTACTCTATTATATTAATAACTAACTATTGTAGCACCAGTCCAAATACCAAACAGTTTATTGATTACCTATTGCACCTATAACCAGTCCAACAAGTCCAAAAAGAAACAGTAAAGAATGCATCGTACACTATTTTAGCACTCGAACCACAAATTTTCAGTCCTTGGATCATATGTGTATATTACAATTTTTCCCTAGATTTTATTGAATGCGGCATTAAAAAATGGCAAATGCAAATGGCATTAAAAAATTGCAAATGCATTTTTCTTATCGATCTTAGTTTTTACAGGGTTTTCAACATTTATGTACCATTGTTTCGATAGAAAGAGATTTTAGTTTGTGAATTAACCATTTGTTTTGAGGCTGGTAATAGTATTTTGATACACGTGGATGGAAGCATTTTGATAATAATCTTCCATACCACATCAAGAGCGAGACCAATACAGTGTCCGATAAATAATGAATTATAAAACAATTGAATCGCGATTTCATGTCCACTACCATCCAGTCTCGAAACTTAACGCCTGTGGTGCTTTGGCAGGGTTGCCAATGTTGCCATGTTGGTAGATTTTTTCCAAATTTTATAGATTTTTACTTGGGAATTTTTTTGGGCATATAATGTTCTGGGGGATATCACAAGTTTTGCGTATTGAAAGCAGCCCTTCCTCTCGCTCTTTGAATCAAACCTACCCCTTTTCATTAATTAAATGTGATTTGGGGGATTTTTGTGCTTGTTCTGAGGATATTCCGTCCGAACCATCTGACAACGCTATGCTTTGACATATTTGCCATATTAACACCAACAAACGGATTGCCATTTACTTCATTGTAAATTAACTCGAGCATGTTTGCCTATTTCCTTGAGAATTCTTGGTGTAAATATCCGGAAATCTGTTGGAAATTGTTACTGTCGTTATTTAGATATTTGGAAAGAATTGTTCATTGTTTGGAGTTCCTACTCTCCATTTTCCGATTTTGAGAATGTATTTTTATACCCTTAAATAATAAAAGTGAGTTACATTATGTTGTTTCTCATTCGATGAGTTATAACCAATTATATCTTTGATGTTCTATACAATAAATGACTATATGATAATTTCAAGGCTTACTCAAGATAAAAAAAATAAAAATAATGTATGGCATTCTATAATATTTGAAATCAGAATTAAAAACCATTCGTCTAAAATGGCATACATAAGAAAAATCACAATTGTGACGGGGGATAAGAGACGTAAAATCACATTAATGTTTTATTTATGCCATCTTGCAGAGATCAAAAAGTGGCAATGTCAATGTGCAGTTTATTTTGAAATCCTACCTTAAATAAATTCAGAAAAAATATAAATGATTTTGGGAAAATTCGTTCCCTTTTCGGTGTATCTCTGGAGATACTGGAAGCGTCAAAACTTGAAGATCACAATGGTGAAAGTATGACAAATTTGTATTTCAAATCATTTAAGAATAAACTAGGTGAATATGCTTCTATTCTATAAGACAATTTTTGGCTATATGACGAAATTTCAAGCAATTGTAGAAAAACAACGAATAAATATCGACAAAGATAAATTATGGTATTCACATTTCAACACGGCAGACATTAATAACGTTGTTTTTCGTGTAAAGTGAAAATTCTAACAACTCGTTACCAAATGAGGAAGAAATTTAGACAAAAGGTACTCGAGTCCTCGAGTGCTATGCGGATCACGCAAAACGTCAAAAAGACGTGGTGTTCGGAAAGTGTTCCACAGGTGTGTACTTCACTCTTAAATTACATTACCATTCGTTTATTTATCAAAATCGTGTGTCATGGGTCAGTGTTGTATTTATATATTGAACTACTATATTATTCTGCGTATGAAAGCTCATCGTAATTTTAATTTAATTTCAAGCTAATACTACAAGTGAAGCAGAGTAGGGTGACCACGCGTCATGGGCGTGCCAATCTGTGTACCAAGTGTACCAAGTCTATAGGGAGCCCACGAAACGATGCGCGATAAATCAAATCACGAAGTAACAAGCTGTTACATACTTGTTGATACTGCTTAATAAGAATATATCTATTTTATTTAATGAACTGGTTCTCATGTATATTCATATATAAAATATATTAGAATAACAATAGCGACTACTAACAGAAACAGATATGAGCTCCGTCCATCTATGAGCAGATTATAATGATCAGCCGATCAACACTAAGACATGCCAATAAGAAGGATTTACAATACTTACTGATTATTTCCATGGGACACTGCATGCGTGGTTGTGTGTAATTTTTAGCATACAGCTAAAGGTATAGAATTATGAAATATGAAATGCACAGTTTTGTACAATATACTCGAGTAATGTATTGCAAAATAACGTCAAAATGTGGTTTTGACAGGTAAATTACGAATCAAAGCTTTTGTTAAGCAAAAAGTGGTGTTGTACAATGAGGTACAGAGGATAATATTTTAACAATTTAAATTACGAAAATGATACATTTTTTTTTGTTTGATGTTATATGACATCATGAAAAATCATGACACCTCTGTCGATATGTCTGTCTGCCCGCTAATCTGTAACTCGTCTATAACTTAGAATGCACCCATCAGATTGTGATGGAATTTTCATACAAAGTTACTACTACGCCAGGGATAAAACACTTTATAGTTTTTGAAAATTGGTCCAGTGGAGACAGAGAAAAAGGCCAAAAATGAAAATAATAAAATCGCTCACACTTCTTTTTTTGGCGTTTCAGAGAATCATTTTCGAAAAAATGTTTAGAGGTAAAAATTGGATACTTAATTTCGTTCTCCAGGGCTCTTCTTACTTCAAAACTGTTGTGGTCAAAAAATTATCCAATGTTATGCACATCTTAGTTATCATTTAGGCTGCAACTGATCAATATAACAAACGAGAGACTATAACGAAGTACAACGAGACACAGTTTTAAAGTAAAAGGAGCCCCAAAAAAAAGTAATGTTTCCGAAACGTTAGCAACTTTATAATAGGAAACTGTTTTTATTTACACCCCAAATCCAATTAATTACAACGCAATACTTTGAAAACTGACAGCGTTGCATGGGAAGGGCAGAGTTAACCTTCTTGATGCAATTTTTTATACGTGCAACCGGCTACGGTGACACACTATATTCAATGCGAATAGTTTCTAAGAACTTGCCAGGTCTGCACAATATTTTCAAGTTTGGTTTGTGAGATCTTACAGCTTGGGTGTTTCTTCAGGGAATGGTTATGATAGGTATTATGGGCCAATCCATTGTCATATTTGATAATGAAGGAATAAGCTATAGCGTAGCTCCACTGATTTCCCCAAGTAACGCTATGCATGAAATTGTAATCTAAATAAACGTTAGAGTTGAGGAAACATTTATTATCAAAAACGCAATGACATCAAATTAAACTAAAAATTATAAATAACGTTCGCTGAAGATGCTTCTATGCATTCAGTTGGCGGGTTTCTGGTTTTGATCCTTGAACTTCTTAACAAGCTCCTCACCCTGGTGTTGCACAGTGTCGGTGAATTGCTTCAACGTTTGGGTGAGGTTTTGGAACAGCTCGTTCGACTGCAAAGAAGAAGACTTTGTGAGATGTACGTTTAAGTTTGAACTAAATATTGGTGCTTATCTGCGTGCGAAACAGAATCAATAACGGTTTCCGTTCGTCCGACCACAGACTGCCAACTATGGTCAGGTGTTCGTGCTACTTGACAATTCTTCAGCATGGTGTACGCTTGATTACGGTGTAGAACGAATGAGAGCTGAGCAACTCTATTCAGAATATGAGGTCTGTCGAAACAGCTGTCTACGGTTAGCCGTCCGTGGTCGGATAAACAAAAGCTGTATTACTAGTTTTATTCAATGAAAAGTAGACCTTATCTACTGCAGCTCCAGAATCGGCAGCATCTAGCGGCTACAGTAGTGACACCCGGTTGACAATGCTAACCGGCATATACTTCCAATTGGAGCTTGCTGTTTTTACTTGGAGTGGTCGATTTTGGTAATTATTTCGATATAATGCCTAGTTAAAATACACGCATGCCTGCAGGAATTTCTCTCAGGGGGGCCGATCATCGACACAGGATAACATTCTGTGAAAGTGTACCTGCTCCAAAAACTTTTCGTGGGGTAGCAAATTTTCTCAAGGGGTGGTCAAAAATCAGGCCAAATATGTCTATTCTAAAGTCCAACCGTATTCTCATAGGGGGGGGGGTCTCGCTCCTCTCCCTGGCACTTCCGTTCGCGAAAAAGGTTAACCAACTAAGACTACGGCATGAATTTTCAAGATGATTCCAATCTCAAATAAATTTTTCTAGCATCATCGATTTTTTTACGAAATAAATGCACGAGTGACAAACTCAGACCTATAAATAGTGGTAGCTACAAAACCAGATGCAATGTCCTCATCACTTGTAACACACATCTCCTGACCATTCATCAAATTTATATAATTATTCAATTAAACTAAATATATCAAACAATCTCAAAGTAATCCACGCCTATTACAAATGAAAAACAATACACATGTTAATGTCGAAGGGAGGAAAAAGCAGGCCCCCATTCATTGCTTGAATCTTTGTCTTTGTCAAGTCTCTCGTCAGCGTTGCGGACTAACCTTGTGGAATTCTTGTTTATAAACAGTTTAACGTCAGGCGCATGATTTTTCTGTTTTTCTGTTTTGCGTTACGGCAGTGGTGTGGAGCGTCAGAGTTTATAAATCGACCTCAACTTCCTTATTAATTTCTTTTTAAGGTGAAACGTATGTATCTGCATATCACAAGTGTATAATACTTGTACTTGTAAGTGTTGATGTATGTACCATCAGACCGACAACGAAGCATAATAAAATTGAATTGCGGTCTAGTAGAACATATTATATGTATCTGAAAATTTACTATTATATGTTAGATTTTGAGCAAAAAGAGGTTTTGAGGATTTTCACACATCTATTTGCCATGCTCCATACTCCTGGAAGAGGAGTTGTCCTACCTGTAACCTCCAACAAAACTGACACTAGCTCTAGGTGTTCTTTAATGACCGACACTAGTGATTCATTTTTAACTCATTATCTCAAATACACGTGCGTCGATATCTTTTTGGTTGAAATTATGAAAGTATATATTAAGAGAAGGGTGCGGGCGTGAAAGGTTCTTAGAGGGCTTACACTGTGCTGATCCTAATCCTTTATGAGCTGTTCAGGTTGCGAAGGAAGTGCAAAGTCAACCTACTCGAAGCTATTTTTTTAACTTGACTCCGAATATTCCATAGTGACTGTATAACAGTGTTATGATTCTGGTCGCGCGTTAGGGTCTCAAGCTTGGTCTCGGGTCGCTGTCTTATGTCGCAGCAAATAGCAAATATTTTTGTTCACATTGCAATTTACATACATATCAACTACATTAGTTTTGTTCCATGAAACAATTGCATATATTTTTCGAGATCTAGCAGACCGTACCAAATTGATATTTGACAAACAAAATTAATTTGCTTCCGTTTAACAAATACACTGTGTCATGCATGGATTAGCAGCAATTACTAATTTTCTAATTATCTTTGTGAATCTACGCACTTTATAAAATGTGTGCAGGATGTCGATTAATTAGTTCTCATTTCAATTTAGATTGCCCGATGAGTAATAATTGGATACTGTCGTTTTAACCACCCACGCCTAGGGGCGATGAAGTATTATAATCGCGCAAAATGAGATTTTATGACTTTTGGATGTCTAAGTCATGTTGATCACTCACGAAACAACATGTCACCCATTTTCGTCGCTCTGTCTGCCTTCCCGCTGATTCTTGGCACATCTATAACTTGGAAAGTATTAATCGATTTTGGATGAAAATTTCACACAAGGTTACTGGTATGTCAAGGATTGGAAAAATTGTAGTTTTTAGAAATCGATCCAGTGGCGGTGAAGAAAAATGGCAAAAATCATAACAATTAAAAACGCTCAAACTTCCTATTTTGACGTTCCTGATCATTTTTTAACAATATTTTACGGGTAGTTACTCTAGCTATAACAATCGTGGAGGTGCGCGTGGCCAAAGTTGAGAATCTCTTTGTTTGATTTAGCGGCCAGACAGTGTAGCCCCATCAAAAACCACAGAATAAGTGTTAGGTGTTACATTATTTGTTCAATATCTCAACAATTAAATAAAACTCTATAGTATATTACGTCAAACTGTTTCGCATGAATTGGCCTATAAAAGTCTACAGTGAGAACTTTCCAAAATTTATTATTATAAAGTAATACTCCTGCACAGTTAAACATTTTCCAAGTCAGGAGTATACTGTTGGCTATAGTTTTTGTGATTAACCTTTTTAGACGCTATATGCAATAACGGAGATATCAGACCGAACACCTGTATTTGAATCTCGAAAATTGTTAAATGCGTAATGCTGTTAACGACAAAAATATATCAGTACAATAATTTTTGACCAACTTCCAGGCATACGTATGCTCACCTGTACATTCTTCACCAAGTCATCGATGCCACTTTTGAAGGATTGGAGGGCCTCATCAATCGTCTGACTGGCGTTCTTCTCTGCAGCTGGAGCATCTCTACGGACAATTACAGCCTCGCTGAAGGTCAGAAACTGAAAAAAGCAAATAGCCAAATTTATCGATCGGCTTATAGTATAGCTCACAGCCTATTTGCATAATGGTTTGAAGTTTTGAAGTCTTTTTGATTCCTACGCTACTGGGCGAGGAAGTATTGTAACCGCGAAAAACTTCTAAAATAAGATATTATGGTTTTTGTGTATGTACGTCACGAAAACTCATGTCGCCTATTTCCGTCGGAATGCTTGTCTGTCTGTCCGCTCATCTTTGGACCGCCGACTTGGGAAGCACCGCTTAGATTCGGATCAAATTTTCACACAAGGTCACTACTATGCCAAAGACGGAAAGACTTTGTAGTTTTTTAAGGTTGGTCAAGTGCCGGCGGAGCTTCGAGCAAAAACGTGAAGAAAATAAAACCGCTCATAAACATGTTTGTAGTTGACATTCGGGGTTGTAGGGGTAAGGGACGGTATATGAAATTTTTTTAATGTTAATATATTCAATCACTCCCAATTCCGATAATTCTAGGCACCTATTTTCCCCTTTTCCTTTAAAACTATTTTCAATGCGCATATTTCTGCTATCTAAGCTTACCGCGATATTTCGCTACAGTGGTGCCGCGTAGATGCGGGAGGGGGCAACGTTTCCAGATGGACAGTAACTACCAGTAGGGCAGGGAAGGAACATCTGTCGACTAATTATATGGGCCTGTTTGACTCTCTTGATCCGTTGGATTTCTCTGTTATACATAATGCCTTATGAACTGAAGATGGAGTGGTATAGGAAGTGCACAATCAACTTCCTTGATGCCATTTTTTATAGTAATTAAATATATACAGGGTGGCCAAACACGTGTGACGTCTTAAAAAAAAATTAGATTCCCCACATCGAGAGGAACCCAAATCACCCCCATATATATGGTCCGATTTTGTTTAGTTTAGGAGTTATGATTTTTTTTCGGATTTTTCGAGAATTTTTGAGTTCTGTGTTTATTTTTACCATAACTTCGTTAATAATTGTGATAAATGCCTGCTTTTTCCACGATTATGTAGCTAAGACCTAAGGCTTAACTATCATATAATCATTCAAGTCATGTAAGTAATACTACTTTTTAATTTTTCAGGCTCTGGTTAGGCCAACCAACAGAGGACACGTCATCACCACCGACCAGCCACGTCATCTACGGCACAGGACACGTCAGCCGTTCTGGTATAAATAACCCCGAAAGGCTAAGTCACCTGCAGACGAAATAAGAGGCCATATCAGCCGAAACCTCGTGCTCTAAAAAATTGGATATTCCGGGACTCTGCTTTGCATACTGATTTGGACTTTGTTTGCTAAGAAGTTTGTGATGCATTATACGTTGCGTGAATATGCAGAAATGCATTATTATTATGGCGTTGCTCAAGGCAACGGCGCTTTAGCAGCTCAGCTGTACCGGGAACAACTTATACGCCGAGGCGGACCACAACCTGAGCATTACCCAGACCACCGTGTTTTTATTAACACACATAACACTTTCATGGCAGGCCGCATTCCAGGACGAGGAAGCAATGAAGGATATCCTACAGCTGATCCGGATCGCAGAGAAGTAGTACTTGAAGAAATTAGCCGGAATCCCTCAACGAGTACGAGATCTATGGCACAAAACCTTAGAATACCACGAACATTGATACAATATATTCTTCATGAAGAAGGTTATCATGCCTATCATGTTCAAAGAGTTCAAGCGTTGATGCCTTCAGATTACCAGTTAAGAGTGGATTTCTGCGAGACAATGCTGCGAAGACAACGAGAGGATCCCGATTTTTTTGATAAAATTTTATGGACTGACGAGTCACGTTTTGAAAGAACAGGGATATTCAATATCCATAATTTACATACTTGGGCTGTTGAAAACCCCCACCAGTCAAGGCCGTCGACATTTCAACACCGTTTTAGTGTGAACATGTGGTCAGGAATATTCAATATGGAATTTATCGGTCCATTTGAACTGCCATCAAGGTTGGATTCGGTAGCCTACAAAAGCTTCCTTGAAAATAGCCTACCATTATTGCTGGAAGATTCAAGCCTGGAAGCCAGACGGAACATGGTGTTCCAGAATGATGGTGCACCATGCCACAACGCAACGATCGTGCGAAACTACTTAAACGAAAGGTTCCCAGACAGATGGATCGGACGAAACGGACCGATACGATGGCCTCCACGCTCCCCTGACCTCAACCCCATTGATTTTTTTGTTTGGGGATATTTTAAAGACATAACATTCGCCCAAGAATGTGCAAATGAAAATTCATTGAGGAACAAAATTCAAGAAGCGACACATGTGTTGAAAAACAACACACAAGCATTTAGAGATTTAAAACAAAATTTCATACGTAGGTGTACACTGTGCATTTCTGTTAGAGGCAGACGTTTTGAAAACCTCTTGTAAATAACATAAATGAATAATAATCTGCTGTTCAGTAAAAATCAAACGTGTTTTTGTGGTTTTTGCAAATTTTTTTTTCCGAAACTAACAATTGCTATTGAGCAGAGGGTTATCCAATTTTGGGTTCGGTTCTATTTGAGCCACAATTACGGTAGCATGTAGTAAAGCTAGGTTGATGAAATTTTTACGTTAAATAGCTGATACCGTAAGGAAGTTTTTAAGATACTTACGAATAGTAAGAACATGTTTTTTCAATTTTTTATAAACGTTCAAAGTTGTTGCACTTTTTTACTTTTTTGTTATGTTCGAAGATTTTGAAAAAAATTAAAAAGTAGTATTAGTTACATGACTTGAATGATTATATGATAGTTAAGCCTTAGGTCTTAGCTACATAATCGTGGAAAAAGCAGGCATTTGTAGCATTAATTTTGGTGTTATTCTATTAAAAGCTTAATTACTCAAAATCTAGTGATTTTATCTGAATCAAACCTTATATCAAAAAAAGCTTATAGAGAATTGATTCCAAACTTGCATAAATATACAGGGCGATGCATTTGAAATTTTTGAGAAAAAGTACAATTCGCGTTTTTGACCACTCTGTATGAGCAAAAATGAAAATTCGAAAAAGTAACAACAAAGCTGAGATGTGTGATTTTTTTTATACAAAATTCACCACTCCAAATATCAAAATGGCGGATTAAGGGGTTGCCGAAGTGGAAGGTTTTTCTGGACAAAACACCTTACATCTCAGTAGCTAATTACCAAAACCCCATAATATGTTATATCATTCTTCTTCTTTTGAATTGTTTTATCCAAATATGCAATAAAATTTGAGGCATTCTTTCACAAAATCACAACTTTGATATGTAGGTCAAAATTGGGACACCCTGTATAATTGCCAATATTTTAGAAATGTGCCCTCAAATGTCATGTATAACATGCCATAAATAGATTTTCCCAAAATGTATTTGTTTATGAGTAATATTCCGTCCACACATGGATGGGCCACCTTGTATATGTATATACATCAATTATTGATGTAAGTTTTTTTTCCAGTTCAACACCAAAACCACTTAAGTACGTATAAACCGTGGGACAATTCGATAGCAAGGAGCCCTGCCCTACTTTGCTCCTCCATTCGCAGAGATATTTCTGCTACTACTATTTCCCTAAGGCTTTCAGGCCTCCGCTCATGGGCGTATCTAGGGAGAGTAAGGGGGCAACTGTCCCCCTTCTTTCTAGCTCGACAAAAACTAAAAGCAGAGAACTTTTTTTGTAAAAATTGAATTTTTCATGCACAGGGTTCTCCACAAGCTGAAATAAAACTTTTGAAACATCCACATTATCTAGAAATTTCAAGCAAATTGCACATTAACATTACTTTTTTCTCTTCTACACTGTCACATAATTAGAATTTCGTTCTGACGTGTCGGCTCTCAGTTTGTTAAAATCCTACCGTTTTCAATTATTACTCTTAAATAATATAAATAAGTTAACATTTTGCTATTCCCTATTCGATGAGACCAACTATACGAAGTTTACTTTTTTAGGCACTTGAAGTTTTATATCAATCCGTGACATGAAAAACCTGTAAGTGACTATAATAATTAATTTCAAGGCTTACTCAGGAGCATTGGTTCTACAATATTAATGTATGACATTGATATTTTAAATCAGAATTAAAATTATTCGCCCATGCAAAAATTTGATGACGGTGGATAATAGAGGAAAAATCATGTTTATATACTAATTATGCTACCTCGTAGAGGTAGAAAAGTGGCTGTGCAGTTTATTTTAAAATCCTACTCAAATAAATAAAAAAATAGAATCAATTTTGGGAAAACTTGTTTCCTTATCCGTATATTTCCGAAGATACTCCAAGCGTCGAAACTTTTACACAATAGTGAAAATATGACAAATTTGTTATTCAAATTACTCTAGAACAAACTAGGTACTTCTACATATTGTATAAAACTATTTTTGTCTATAAGCCGAAGTTTCAAGTAATTATAGAGAAACAAAGAAGAAATTACATTATTTCAGGAATAATTATATTAATTATTATTATAATGTTTTATTTCCCCGGCTATATCAAAAATTTTTCCTTTGAAGTGGCACAAAAGATGTAGTGGGGTGTTCCATTTGGAAAAATGTATGTTTCCATATGAACTCTCAGATCATTGTGGACAATGTATAAATGTATAAGACAATGCAATGCAAATAGAGATAACAATGTCTAGCATAGTAAAGTAGATGCGCTGTGAGGAACCGCCACAAAACATTTTCTTGAGGCTGCCCTTCCGTTTTGTGCTGGGTACGCCCTTATCTCCGCTAGCCAGAGGAGCCGCTAGAACAGCTTTGATGAATTTTGAGGAGCGATCTTTTGAAAATCGAACCACAGACTTATTGAAACGCTGCATAAAGAACGTAATCTTGTAGCAGCTACATACCTACGAATTGTTATCTTTTTCGTAAAGCTGTATATAAATAGTAAATCCTACAAGCTTATAGTTCCTGGGATTATAAAGTTGTACTGGAGCTTCTTGGAGACTATAATTTTTAACGGGATTACAATGATTTTGGATTATTCACTTATTTGTGCACCCAACAACGTCATTATTGGTTATCAACATTACTTAGAGATCTACGGATTCTTTGATGATTGCATAACAATTATTATCCTAAATATTTACATTTCTCAACTGTTTATTTCGAACTTCTGGTTATTGTAGATGTTTATGAAAAATATGTTAATCAGTGGTATCGATGACCCCAGTCATCTCTGCCAACAAAATTAAAAGATTTAGAACATTTGAGCAATCTTTATTTAAATATGTATTTGGAGCACCTTGATAAATAATCCTAGTAGTTGACCTACAAGTGAGGGTTGACAATACAGTTTGTCCCACGCAAAATCGACGCGATCAATTAGGGTAAACCTCTACAATAAGCCCCAGCGGACAATATGCCCCACAACGCTGTCGCTCAAACAGACCGAGATAGACAACACAACAGGTTGCGACTCGCATGCAATGAAAATAGTACCTCTCCGACTTGACCGCCGTGAGAAGAGTCTGATTTTTGCATTTAATTTTAAATTATAGTAAAATCTTTAAATACCTTGAGACAAATTGCGGTGATAGATAACCTACAATTTTACGTGTTGCACACAGTCATAAACCTTGCATGGCAGCCATCTTTACCCTGGGGCGTATTGTAATTAGAAATTTACAAAATTCCCCGGCTGTCATTGTTTAATATGCCCCAGTTTTACAATCATATATTTTCTTTTATTTACGAGCCAAAAGCTATTCCAGAACACTATTTTTCTTCATCTGATGCTCTAAAAGCTCAAGATTTAGTAGCAAATGAACCTAATGAGGAATATGTCATTTCTAGTACAGAGGGATCAAAATCATTTGGAGCAAGAAGATATCAATGCTTCAGAAGTACCATGGGCAGATACTTTACGAGGATTGAAAGGATTGACGAAGAAGAGCCGCATACTAGTACAGAATTGTCGGAGCCAAATATAGTACCTCTGGAGCCACCAATTCAAGTAACGCCTCCGAAACGTCCGTCCGGATATACGCTGCGGCTTTCCTGAAGAAAAAGGAACGTCGACGAAGATTCTGGCTAAAGTACACCCTGTACCTAAGCTACCAGCTATGAGTTTAAAGAGAAAACAGAAAGCTGTTGTTTTAACGTCACCAGAAAATATACAAAAACGGAAAATTATTGAAGAGAAGAAAAAACCTGCGCGAACTTCTAAAAAATCAAAGCATGTGAAAAAAATAAAGGTTCAAAGAAACCAATTAAAATAAAAAACAAAGAAAAAGAAACAAAATATGAGTCATCAGAGAGTGAAACTGATGAGGAAGAAATCCGAAATAGTTCGGATGAAGAAATATCCGAAGAAGATGAAAACACGGAAAATTATTATAAGAAGATTGGATAAAGTGCCCATCTTGCTCTTTTTAAATGCACGAGTTCGAATCTATTAGAAATAAAAAGAAGCGCCAACCATGCGAGAGATATGATGTCTATTAGGATGGATTATAAAGTTTGTTTCAACTTAATAGGTATCTAATAGGATTACAATAGTACTTATGTTGTTTTTTCAAAGTTTTGTTTATTTTATGAGAGGAAAAGAGGTATGATGACGCTTTCCATTTCTTGTAAAATATTTTTTTTATGTATTTGCTTATTTTATGGGAGATATTATCACCGATAATAAAGAATGTTTGTTGCTTTTTACAGGTTTATTTCATTTTATTATTCCGGGGCATTTTGTAACAGAACTGAGGCATCTTATCAAGGAATGTCAATACAAAACGCCGCACTTAAGGTTTAAAAAAAAATTACAATGTGATCCATCGTCAAGTATTTCTTGGCAAATATAAGTGTCATAAGATTAACAAATTACCGCTCCTTTATTTATTCTGTAACACATCAGTAACAACTCCAACAGCTAGAGGAGTTACTGAACTCTAAATAAAGCGAGGCGTATTGTAAAGGTTTGCCCTACCCAAAAAGTTGCCGCAAGACAATTATAAGAATTTGAGCTGACAGTATAAATGATGCGAGCAAGTCAGATGAAGTATTTTCAAAACGACGGTAGTACCGGAAGGGGGTACCATCTTACTTATTTCATTGCCATATGATATGTAACGAGTTATGGTAGTAGGAGACCTACATTAGTGGAATTTCTTCCAGATTTGGATAACAAATACTTGGTACAAGGTGGTCAAATATATATATATATATATATATATATATATATATATATATATATATATATATATATATAATAAGAATTAGATTTCATGAAACCCCAAAAGTTAATTATTTTAAATGGAAACCACCTTTTTATAGTTCCATTGTAATAGGTACACATTGAAACGTGAGTGACAAATGTAAACTCTGCAGGAGAGCCACCTCAATTTTTAAGCAACTTTAGTCGGACTTTTCAGCATTTCAAATAATATTATGGCATTCAGCATATGGCACAAATAAGGAAATGGTGAAGTATGGATTTGGAGGAGCTACCAAGGTATTGAAGTAACAAAAATGAGATTAAATGAATCAGTTCAAAATGGCTTTTCATTGCAGTCACCTTTCTTGGGGATAATAAACGAAAATATCATTGTAGTCCTTAGATAAGTTTTTAATAGACTAACGAAAAAAAAACATTAAAAACGTGCTTAATCAATAGAAACATAACTAGTTTTGTTTTCAAATGAATGTTTATGCTGAAAAAAAGTATCTATCTTTTTGACAAAACATGATGCAGTAGAGCTTTTTTAGAATTAAGAAAAGTAAGCCTATTATATTATAAGGCAAGTTCTTCGGCTACACCATGTGACCTTCTCAACCCACACTGTACGTTTGAAGTTGAAATGTAACATTTTGTTTAACATCTTGGTTCAAAACCAGAGATGCCTTACCTTTTTTTTGATATGCCGAGTTTAGTGTTTTTCAAAAATAAAATCACATGAAACAGATTGAAATGTTTTAGCATCCATTGCTGTTTTTCTAAAGATGTGGAACTCGATAAATGAAAATATTATATAATTTATAATAATATCCATATCTAAGCAGGATTTATCTAGTGAAATTTAGAAAAACAGGTCAAAGACTGAATGTTAATTTTTGACTACACTGTTTCGCTCCATAGCAATTTGATGGCAAAAGTACATACCTGGAAAGCAACAAATGCTACCAACACCACCAAACATAACTTAAAAGACATTTTGATACGTAGCTAACGCGACTCACGAACAATAACTCCCCCTAGACAATTTAAGTACTATCTACTATTACTACTCTGGCTGGCTCTTCGCTACTGTATGATGCGGGCAGCGTAATCGACGATATTTTTATCTACCAGATTCATTATGCGCTTCAATCATTTACATACAAGGAACTACACATATAGGTCATTACATTGTAGGATTAGATACACAATGGGGTGTTCATTACATTTATCTTATAATATAATCTAAATATTGATGTTTAATTCCAAGCATAGCTCCCCACTGCCCTAAGGTTTGGGTATTTTGCAGCTTTTTGTATTATATTTTAAGATCGCACTCAAGAGATTTCTTGACCCAGCTCTTAAAATTGTTTTGAGAATGATACATAATCATAATATACAAGGAGGTTCCTCTCGCCGATGCCTAATCGGCCCTCCTTGTGAAAAATTCCTGTGTGTCCAGGCCTCCAAAACAAGAATCGGACAAGCTTGTTAGACCTGAGCCAGCCCTAAGGGTGCCCGCACAAAGAGTCTGGAGGATAACGGAAAGATGGAGAGTGCTGTTTGGAGATAGCACTCTCTGAAATGGAGTATCTCTAGACATATCCGATATCCGTGTGGCACATCTTAGGGCTTAGTGCTAAGGATGGACGCTTTTGCGTATCTTTGGATAGAGCCAACTTAAGGCGTGTGTCTATGACCGCTGCAGGGTAAAGCAGGAACACTTGTTCTGTGTCGCATCAAGACTCTGAGCTACTACATGCAGACTTTGGATCCCCAGAATGTTAAGGAGCTGGAACTCAGGGCAAGTAGTTTTGTAGATAATAAACAAAGGAAAATCGTGAGTATATACGCAATAAAGGAACCGGAGCTGAAATAGAGAGACTGCCCGTCTTTCTTGAGAATCTAAAGATCATTGTAGCGAAATCACTGTTTCACGTCCCGTCAGCATTCATCTTTTTCTGCTGCAAGTGATTATTATAACGGATGCTTCATTTGAAAAATCTCATCTTCTTTATGCTTCTGTAGTTCGTAGTTGTATAATATAAAGCTATTTTATATGTGTTTATATATTTTGAACTGGGGGCTATTAGGTCAGTAGAAGTGCTCTTTTTGTGGATTATACCAGATTCTGATCCCTAATATACTAATGGCAGATTACACTTGACAAGCTCAGGAAGCGGCGCACGGAGGAACAACACGCGAATCTGCAAACGTCTAAAAAATTTTTTTTCTCATGTTGGAGCATGTTCCACTTGCAGAGACAGTCCAAGGAAGATCAAAACCAGACGTTTTAACTCGATAAGTGTTCTTTGCACCATCTGAGTGAACAAAGATAACTTTAAAAGCAATTTTGATATTATCAAAACGAGTCAATTATGGTAAATGCCAGTGAAAAGAAGCACTGACATATTTTACCTTGACCGTTTTCCAATTTTATTGAACATTTACTAAATTTAAATCTCAGAGGAAGATAGGTGCATAGTTTTTTGTATTTTCCATTTCGACTATTTGCAGAGGATTGTTTTACTATACATTTATGGTCAGCCAAATAAGTTTGCGTTGTCATGGACTTTCTAGATTTTTTTTCAAAAAAATTCAGTTCCTCAGGCTTCCCCTAGAGGCTATCTAGTGGACATGTTGAAGAACCACCAGGGCGACCAAACAAAAAATGCAATATTTCCGTCTTCGTTTACTCCCTCCTCGCCAGTGTTTCTTTTGTGAAAATTTGCTAGTTTAAGAAGGCGAAAAAAATCAGCATCCGGCCTGGCGTTGAGCAGGGATGTAGGCTGTCTTCAACGCCGTTTAATAACTATACTAGTACTACATTACACACAATGAGAAAAGTATGGATGGGGACTGACGGGCAGTCCCAGGGACTTGGACTATGTCGACCACAACGATCTTATATTGACACACACCAATAAAATATTTATTCAGGCATGATTTCATTTCGTGTGTTGTACACAATCAAATTCAATGATGTTAAATCTGATGACCTTCTGGTACCGATAAGAAAATGGACGAAGTTCACTTGCAATTGATTAGGTCACGAACGAATATAACATCATTTATACTTCATTATCTAAATCATACATATCTTGGTACATAATACTGATAAGAACATGGTATTTTTCTATGAAATTCACTAGGTATACACCGATCGTCAAAGTTAGCGCCACATACTTTGCAAGCTATCCCGTGATTTGGAAGTTCCACGACCATAACTACTATTGTTTAACCGATTTCTACAATATGCCTAATCCATGTTGATCCCTACAAGACACTACCTCCACCACTAGCAATTTTCTCCTTGCACATCTGTCAGGGTGTTGACGAAATGGGTCGTGGATGCAATACTACTTTGTAGAAAACGACCGCAGGATCAATTTTTGGCAACGAAGGCCCGATTTTACTATCGACCGGCGGGAATCAAAATTTGCGCCTCTGGCAAAAAATACTTCATATATCACATGACTCAGCTACAAAAACCTATTTTCCAATTGTGCCCGGAAACAAAAGTTGACGCAAGTTACACCAATCAAAAAGGTTTTCTGGTCTACTCGTAATGTGGATCAAACCTAACACAATAGATTGACATGACACCATTACTGAGAACTTTATTAAAGTAACAGCAACTTACTGTGGCTGTACGAATACTGCTTAATACATTCTCTGAAGGCATGAATAAAATTACAGAATCCCTTTTCTTTAACAAACATCAAGTAAATAATCAATTTACTTGACTGCCATGCGAAAAAGTCCACTCTACTGGACGAAAGGATAACTACGCGACCACGCGGTGCCGCGGTGACTGTGGCAAGGCTAGAAGTCGTTTTCCTATTACCCAGTAGAGGGCACGTAAGCTCCTTGTTAACGGAGCTGGCTTAAGGAAGAGATTTTCTCGCACGGTAGACAATTAAATTAAATTTATTCGATATTTGTTAAAGAATAAGCATTCTGTAATTTTATTTATGTCCTCAAAGAATTTATCAAACAGAATTTTGTACAGCAACAGTGAGATACTGTTATTTTCAATAGAATTCTTATTTTTCATTGGTGCATTACATGATCATGGCCGCTAATCTAGTGTCTGAAGGCAAATAAAAAAATGGGTTTTGTAGCAAAAGCAAGTAATTTATGACGTCTTTCCTGTTTTAATGTAGGAATTAGGGACCCATCTTACACAAACCGTATAATTTTTCTCTAGTTTGAAAGACATTTCATAAGAAATCGATCATATTCATTAGATCCATGACTTCAAAGATGCCTCCTCATTGGTTGAATTTGTAACCCACATGCATTTTTGCGCATTGGCTTAGTAAAATCGGGCCTGAGCGACTAGCAACTTACCAGAGAGGAATACTTAAAACAAACACCCCCGCCAGAAAGTCGCTCCATCGTCCCTTGTGGACTTCATGAGGAGCTTTGCTCACTTCATAAACAAGATTCGTCGCTCAGCCAAGTATTCGGGATGACCACACCATTTCGCTTGCTTAATGGCAGCTCTTATGTCAGATTCTTTTTTCTTTCTCATTAGTGCATTTTCTGACTTTGGTCGCTTATTTATTGTCCGGATGAAAATGAAAAACTAGGTTTTAGTAAGCCAAGTAAAAATTGTGACATCTATTATATATTAATGAAAGCCACGGATCAGGGCCTGATGTGCAAGTAAAGGGTTGTCCAATAGGGACGCAGGAAACTAAACGTCAATTTGACACAGACGCCATCTTTGTTTTCTGTCACCGACATGTCATTTTGTTAGTTGAATGTTTACCATTGATCACTATGGAGTCGTATTCGATTGAAGACCGCATTAAAGTTATTCAAGAGCACTACAAAAATGGTGCAAAAATAAAAAACACGTTTCGCGCGCTTCGTGAACATTTCGGTCGCAACAACCGCCCAAACGAAACAACCATAGGTCGTCTGGTGCGTAAATTCGAGGCAGCAGGTTCTGTGGCAAATCTGCCAGGCTCTGGCCGGCCAAGGAGCGTTCGCACACCGGAAAATATTGCTGTTGTGAAGGAGAGTGTGAGAGACGATCCGGAACAATCAACAACGCGTCGATCCCAAGAATTGGGCATTTCGAGAACCAGTTTGCTCCGCATTCTCCACAAGGATTTGAATGTACACGCTACAAGATCCAATTGACGCAAGAGCTGCGTCGGGCCGACCATTTTTCGCGCCGAACGTTCTCAGATTGGCTCCTTGAACACCGCCAAATTGATGCCAATCTTTCATCAAAAATCATGTTCAACGACGAAGCGCATTTCACTTTGAATGGGACGGTAAACAAGCAAAACTGCCGCATCTGGGCGAACGAAAATCCCCGTGAGTATCAAGAGCAGCCGATGCATCCTCAAAAAGTGACTGTGTGGTGTGCATTGTGGTCAAAAGGCATCATCGGACCTTACTTTTTCGAAAATGCGGCCGGGGACGCCGTTACCGTCAATTCTGAGCGATATCACGTGATGATAGAGGACTATTTTTTGCCGCAACTTGAAGGAATGGATATGGACGATGTTTATTTACAACAAGACGATGCAACATGCCACACAACCAACGTCAATATCCATCGATTGCAGTCCTTCTTCGGTGATCGCGTGATTTCGCGCAGAGGAAATGTGCCATGGCCACCAAGATCGTGCGATTTGACTCCCTTGGACTTCTTTTTATGGGGATATTTGAAAAGCAAAGTCTACGTCAACAAACCAGCCACCCTCCAAGAACTCAAAAACAACATCATTGCCGAGATAAAAAAATGCCATATAACCGAACCATGTTGCAAAATGTCGTTGAAAATTTCGACCATCGTGTGTACGTCTGTAAATCCAGTCGTGGTGAACATTTGAGCGATATTATTTTTCATACATTAATGGTATAAATGAACCTTCAAAATAAAGTACCCAACTTGATTTGAATATCAATCTTTCTTGTTTTAATATGCGTTTACTTTCCTGCGTCCGTTTTGGACAACCCCATATATTGCCATCAATTTATTTATTTATTTATTTATTTAATTACACCACCAACAGTTTATAAACCAATTACTGGTGGGAAATACAGTACATATATATAAAAATCACAAAATAAACTAATTGAATTGATTGCTTAGTAATTACCAAGATCACTGATCATAGCTCAATCAAACTGTGGTAGCTCTAAAAAAACTACCGCTTTACAT